TTGTTTGGCCATGTGTAAGACAAGCGCCCTACCTGCTGTATTATCTCTCCAGCCCCACTATATTTTGTTTTTTTTTAATCCCATAGATGGGATAATTAGATAATTAGATCTCTCTAATTATTTTAAATTTATTCTGGAGGTATTGACACCTACGCACATATAGATAGAGCTTAATCACTTAACTTCCCGTTAGTCATCGATTTGCTCGAGCAGGCGCCAGTAACGTCTCCATTTGTCCCTGTCGCGTGCTAGTGTAGCCCAATGGCATCTGTTCGCTCCGGAACATGAAGAGCCTCAAACCGATCATTCATGATCTTGACGAAGAAGTCTGACCATCTGGTAGGTGGCCGGCCACGTGGTCTTTTGACATCCCGTGGAATCCAATCAGTAACAGCTCTAGTCCAACAGTCGTCTTTAAATCTCATTACGTGACCAGCCCATCTGATTTTCGACACCTTGGCAAATGAGGCAGCATCCCTGATCCTTGATCGTCGACGGATGTCAGAACTCCGGATTCGTTCTCTCATTTGAGTGAAACGTGATATTCCAAGCATAGCTCTTTCTATTCTTCTTTGGGAGACCTGAATAGCGTTCTCATCTTGTTTGCATAGGGCCCAGGTCTCTGAGGCATATGTTAATGCAGGAAGAACAGTGGAATCAAAGAGATGTGCCCGGAGCCGGAGGTTCTTCGTCCTCTTAGCTATTTCTTCGACGTTCTTGAAGGCGTTCCAAGCCGCTCTCTTCCTCCTGCGCAGCTCGGGTGCCAGGTCATTTGTCATGTTGACCTCTCGACCTAGGTACACATAGCTGTTGCATTCGGAGATGGTCGTTCCATTGAGAGCGAAGGGGCGTCAGGAACAAGGCTGTTTCTCATAAACATTGTCTTCGTAAGATTCAGCTGTAGTCCTTACCTTTCCACACTCACGGTCAAAGTCGGCCAGCATTTGTGCCGCTTGGCTGATGTTTGGTGTTATTAAAACAATGTCATCAGCAAAGCGGAGGTGGTGTAGTTGTCGACCATCTATCTTCACTCCCATTCCTTCCCATTCCAGTCGTCGCATGATGTTCTCGAGGGTGGCACTGAAGAGTTTTGGTGAAATGGTATCACCCTGCTGCACCCCTCTCTTGACATCAATGATCACTTCTTTGTAGAATGGTGAGATCCTGGTAGTGAATCCGCAATACAGCTCACGGAGGATCCTGATGTATTGGGCTTGAATGCCCTGATTGGCTAGGGCTTCAATGACCGCTTCCGTCTCAACAGAATCAAAGGCCTTCTTTAAATCAATGAACGTTAAACAGAGCGGCATCTTGAACTCCCGAGAAACCTCAATGAGCTTGGTTATCGTGTGGATATGGTCGATGGTGCTTAATCCTTTGCAGAACCCGGCTTGCTCGCATGGTTGTCCTTCATCTAGTGTTCTGCCAATCCTATTTAGGATGACTCAAGTGAACAACTTGTAGATGACAGACAATAGGCAGATCGGGCGATAGTTGCCAATGTCATGGATGTCTCCCTTCTTGAACAGTAGTACGGTCCTGCTGGTTTTCCATTGGGACAGAACCGTGCATTCAGACAGGTAGCGAGTGAAGAACCGAGCCAGTGTATTGATGAGTACTGATGGCAGGTTCTTCAGGTGTTCAGGTCTGACCTTGTCTGGGCTGGGTGCTGTTTGTTTCTTTACCGACAAAATGGCGTGTTGGATTTCGGAAGGGAGGACGTTGGGAATGACATATCCATCCTGTGGAATTTGGTATGTCGGCAAGTGGACATGGCTATCAAAGAGATTTGAGTAGAAGTCATGGATAATCTTCTCCATTGCTGTTCTGGAGGATGTGATGTATCCATCAGGATGTCGGAGGGCAGTCATCTTGGTCTTATAGTTGGCGAAGGACAGGTGGGTGTTATGAATACTTTTCCCGGCTTCTGCCGCATCTACCAGTACTTCTGCTCTTCTCTCTTTGAGGTCTTCCTTGATCGCATCTCTGCACTGCTTTGCAAGCTCGGACGTTAGCTTGCGGTTGTCTGAGGCATGCGCCAAACCACGCTGGCGAATTAGCTCAAGAGTTTTCGAAGATAGGCGATTTTTTTGTGGCTATCTCTCTCTTGGCGTTCCTCGCACATTCATGGAGGTGCTGAACCAGTCGATTGTATTCCTCGTCAATGTTGTCAACAATGGCATCTTCCCATGTTGCCGCAATAGTACCAAAGAGTTCCCAGTTGGTGGTCATTCTGGGAGTTCTCTTTTTGAACTTTGCAGCCCTTTCTCCCCGCTCTGTGAAGTAGAATTTTGCATGAAGGAGATGGTGGTCCGATCCCGTTCGAAATTTGGGGACAACAGCAACAACAGTCAGGCAAAACCGTCGATTGAATATGATGTGGTCTATTTCGTTGTGGAATCGTCCACCGGGAGACTCCCATGTCCATCGTTTAGATTCTGCCTTCTGGAACTGTGAGTTACCATGAATGGTCTTGGTCGACATGATGAACTCAGACAGTCTCTCACCCTGTTCGTTCCATTCTAGGCCATGGGTCCCGATGTGAAGTTCTTCAGCTGATCTTCTCGGTCCTATCTTGGCATTGAAATCACCCACAATGATCTTGTAGAAGGTGTCGTCTTCTTTATAGAACTTCTCTAGCTCCATGTAGAACTTCTAGATAGAGCTAAACTACTGAAATTCCACAAAATTGTAGGACACGTTCATCCAAATTTTTTATTGTGTAGCTTTCTTTTTATAGGTATATACATTAAAAAATATGAATAATTCTGTACTAAAACATTTAATGTTTACATGAAATAGATAAGTTCAACAAATTTAAATTCTAGTGAAGAGAATTAAGAAAAAATTTAGAATAGACCTATTAAAGATGAAAAGTGTGTTTTATCATAGGCAAGGAGAGTTGACTTTATGCTAGAAAATATTGTATTATAGATACTGCCTAAGTATCTGCATTATCATGTAAAGGGTTATAATAATATGGATGTTAAAAATCTGGTCAGACATAAAACAGTCAATAAAATGAAATATTAAAATTTGTTATTAAAAATGTAAACAGTCCTTTAGCAAACTAGGAATAAACAACCCTTTCCTAATCTAGTAGAGGGCAACTGTAAACTCAACGAGTGAGGGATAAACTCAGTGCCAAGTGCTGAGTTTTGCTTTGTCTTTTAAAGAAGCTCCTTTACCAAAAGTGATGGCCTCTCGGTATCAGTGTTGGAAACCATAATGCCCAAAAGTAGAGAGACAGTATGTGGGAAATTGTCTGCCATGGAGGCAGGGGGAGGGTGGGAAAGGGGGGGCATACTGCGGAGACTGGTGGTGGGGAATGCGCACTGGTAGAGGGATGGGTGCTTGAACATTGTATAATTGTAACTCAGTCATGAAAGCTTGTAACTGTATCTCCCGGTGATTCAATAAAATAAAACTAAAAGAAAAATTAAAAAATAAAGAAGCTTCTTTAATGTTCCCTGCAAACTGATTTCAAGGCTATGAATTCTCTAAGTTGTTACCTACCCCTGAAGTGCTGTATCATTCCTTCAAATCTGAATGATAATCTAGTTGGATAGAGAGCTCTTGGTGACATGTTCATTCCATTCTGTTTTTGTACTATATCCCTCCATTCACTTCTGGCTCTTAGCATCTCATTTGATAGATCTGCTGTGAATCCTTTGCATGTAAATTTTATATTTAATCTTGCTGCTTTCAGTGCTCTGTCTTTGGTTTTTGTCATTCTGAGAACAATGGGTCTTGGATTTTTTCTATTTGGGTCTACATTCTCTTGCCCCACAGGCCCCTTGTATTTGGTTCCCCTTAGTCCTAACTCTGGGAAAGACTTACTCATGCTCCCTTTGACTGTTGGTTTTTCATTATATTCACCTTTAAGGACTCTGACAACCCTTATGTTGCTTCTGTACTCATCCCGTAGTTCCCTGGTATTCCCTGCTCATTTGTTTTCAGACCTTTTTTCCAGGGTCAGGAAGCAGCCCAGGGTCAAGTGGCTGCTTCTTAGATGGTCCAAACCTGGACCCCACGTCTCCCTGTTCCAGTGACAATGGCCTTCTCTCCACTTGGGATAATTTTTAGGGCGCAAACCGTGGTTTCAGCCTTCAATTCTTTTTTCCACCACCTGGGTTTGACACTCCTGAAGAGTCACAGTCTCTGAAGGGCTTCCCAGAGGGGGCTATGAGTATCTGCTATGCCCACCCCCCTCTAACCCCCCCACCCCGATACAGCCCTGAAGTGATGGGATTTGCCAGACAATGCAATACCCACCAGCTCCTGTAGTGTCACCACAGCTCTGAGTCCCATCTCATTTCTGACAGGGGCTGTTTGTGAGCTCCTTGCTGGTAATCCTTCCGAGTTTTATTGATGAGGACCATCATTCAATGCATGGAGACAGTCTCTCTGAATGTGGGGACAGTGTCATATGACAGATGCTGATGTTGCAGTTTTATTTGCTGTTGCTCTTCAGCGCCTTTCCTTCTTTGGGAATTTTGTTTCTAATGTTTTGTGCAATAGCTTTGCTTCTGAGACTGTGTTTCTGAGTTTTAAGGGGTACAGTTACAACATTACCCCCAAAGTGCCCCCATTCCTGCTGCCCACTATTTCTGATTTGGAGTTTCTGTGGCACTGGGTGGACCCTGAACCTCAGATATGCAAGGAAGAACTCTGCTGGCCCATCCATGTTCCTGTCTCCTCAGCTCTATCTTAGGGTCTCGTGTTTGTTCGTAGTGCAGTTGTGTTGTATATTATGATGGTCAAAGGAATATTTTTTCCTTTTCTCTTTGCCTTTCTGATGTTTCTTTATTTTTCAAAGCAATAAAGGGACCAAGAAAGGAGAGGTGGCTGCGAATTGCAGCACGGGGTGGTCTGTGCCTTTCTGAAAAGACCACAAACCCCTTCATGCTCTGGATCTCTATCACTATCCCTCCCCCCAGGGTACCCTGTCACTGTTTGTGCCTCCTCCCACAGGAGCCCTGTCATGTCTGTCTCCCCAGGCCCAGCACACCCACGACGCCATCACCGAGGCTGCCCAGCTCATGAAGGAAGCCGTAGATGACATCATGGAAACACTGAATGAAGCTGCCAGTGAGGTGGGGCTAGTGGGAGGCATGGTGGACGCCATTGCAGAGGCCATGAGCAAGGTGGGTATGGCCTGACCCTCACTTGCTCCCACTTACTTCTTCCACCCTTGCCCTGTCCAGGCCCACTGTCCCTCCCCTCCCCATTCCCACCCACTTCCCTTCCTTCGCCTCCCCAGTTTCCATCTTCCCCTCTACTTAGTCCTGGCACCTGTCTTGGGGTTTCTACTTTGCTTTTCTCTGGGGCACCCACCCCAGAGCCTCATACCTGCAAGGCCTGGCTCTACTTCACACCTGTCTTCCTGGCCCTCTCTTGCTTTGCGGGTCCCAGCTGAAGGACAGGTGCCCTGCCAGATGCCCAGTCTTTATTTATTCTCCACTCATTACCTGTAGAAGCCATTTGTACCCTTCAATTTCTCACAGAGGTGAAACACATACCTAGTGTTCTCTCACTTATAAGATGGAAATAATTTTTCATTTACCTCTTTACCTTCTAGCGTGACTGTGGGTAAAAAAACTCCCAAACAAAGTGAGGAACTGCTTTTGCAGGGCTGGCCTTTGGAATTGTCCCTGGGACTGTTGGAAACAGCCCCTACCAATTAGGCAGGAATGGTGAGATTGTTGAGCTTAGGAACTCTATGCTTCATGGCCTCCCCATGCTGAGAGCCGGCCAGTCACAGAAGTCACTGCAGAAGTGTGTGCATCCAGCTGGCATCAGCTTTCAGAAGCCCAGATGCCAAAGATAACCCTTGACCTAACCCCTCTCCAGACTCATGCCCTAAGCTGGGCCTGTAAGGAGCTGTCACTGCGGAAGCTTCATCTTGTATGGAGATTGGGCACCTGGCATCTTTGAAGCCTCTGAGCTTTGTGCCTGAGCTGAGAAAAGCAAGTCTGGAACTGTGACATCCACCATGCGACAGGTGCCCTCCCCATTCAAGACAAGCTTGAGTCTTTTGGAAGACCTGGAGACCAGTCTGGTGTTGCCTGAGAGCCACCGAGGCCAGAAATGGAGATGGGTTCCCCTCATCTGTCCTGTAGAATATATACTTGGGCTCTCCTTGCTGCCCTTTCTTGCTTATTCTGCCCATCATGATACTCAGCATGCCTCACAATCCCACTTCCATATTATGCCTTCTGGTCCTTTAATCTGCCCATCACCCAGGATGAACTTTTAGCCGTAAGGTGGCGAAGCATTATAGATCCAGTGTTTCCAGATATTTTGTTAAGTCATTACTCTCCTTTTGGGGTTATTTTATAATCCATATGGGTAATGACTGGCAGAAACCATGAGGGTCCCCAGAGTCTAATATGACTTGAAGTCTTGGCATCTTGAGTCTTCTCTCTGGGGAGCTCCTGGAGGCTGTCCCTCAGCTCTAGAAGGTGAGGGAAGTGAGAGGTTCAGATGAATGCATCAGCTTTCTGGGTAACTGACCTTGAAGAAGTTACTCTTAGACCCTTGATCTCCACTTCAGTGAGGCAAGAGTCTCTCAGCCTTTGATATTTTGTGGTGACAGACCTTTTCTGGTCTTGCTTTGTTTCTGATTTTGTTCATTTTCATGGTGCGGAGGTGAGGAAGAAGAAAGAAAAGAGACCAATGTCTCATCCTCAAGGAAGGCCTTGTAATGCCAGAAGAAAAATTCCCAGAGCCGCACACTGTTACTTCAAGACACACCAAAGCTGACTGGTTGGAAATTGTCCCCAAACCTCCACCTTGATCTTCTCAGTGTTTCATCCTGGGGTCAGGTCCATCTGGTAGCTGGTGACAATTTTCCTGCATGTTGTCAGCTGCCCTCTAGTGACAACAGAGTGACAGTTCACAATTGTGGCAGAGTTCCTGAGAAATCTCTGTTCATCTCCCCTCACTTAGCTATCCAGCCAGTCTACACTGAGCAAACCACCCTGTCTCCATTCGTCTGGCTGTCAGTCCCCATAGGGTGAAATGCAGCCCTACAGCAGACTTGGTCTCCCTGATGGGAGGAACCTGAGACACATCTACTGGTGGTGGCATCAATTCAGGGGGCCATGACATGTTCTGGAAGGTACACAGACATAGGTCACAGTGCTACCCTTCTTCCATTCCCTCTTGGATGGTGTTTCCTCAGACACAGGCTTTCCTTCTCCATGGAACCATTTCTTGAGGCCCCCTGGGCCCTGGGCCCCTCCTACTCTAGCTGAGCTGGTAGAGAGATCTCTTCAATACGCTATTGTCACCCCCACCACTGACATCTTCCTCTGGAGTCTGCTGCAGCTTCATTCCCATACCCTCTCCCACTCACTGGCCCCTCTCTGGCCCTGCTCATTGCTCAGTGGTCAATAGTGACAGTATTGATGACTGGTGATGAGGGATAATCATCATTGACAATATCATCATTATCTTGTCATCTCCATCACCACCAACGATCATCTCTTCTTCCTTCATGCAGCTCTTGATCAGAGATGGTCTGGATCTATTCCATGACCTTCTGATAGATACACATTTCCAAGGATTGAGACTCACCCTAGGAAATAGTTGGAGGCCCCTTCACAAGCCCTGGAACTCGGTCTCAGCTCCATGCCTTCTGAGAACAGTGCATGCAGTTTTTCAGGGAATAGAGCCACCTTACCCCTCGTTCCAACAGTTCCACCCCAGACACACACATCCCGCCCTTCTCTGGGTTCTCATTTGCTCTGAGAGTTGGATGAGCAATGGCTTCTTCCTTATGCTTTGAGCTCTTTTCCGCAACATAGATCTTGAGCAGGGACTGCAGCGCACACTTATCTGTCGACCACACAGCTCCCTTTCCCACTCCAGTTCCCCTTGGGAAACCCTTTCTGGTAGAGGTTCTGCCTCCTTTATGCCTCCCTCCTGCCTTTCCATGTTCCCTAAACATGCCTGAGCTCCATCTCACCCTCCATATGCCCAGTCACCCTTCTGTCTCCCAAAACCTCTCCTGCGCCTTTTCTGCATAGAGATGACTTTGCCAAAACTCCTCCCAGGCAAAGGAGGGATCTCCCCTTCCCTATGCACCCTGAGTACCATATGCCCACCTCTGTTGAAGACCTCACCGCAGAAGTTGAGATCACATTGCCCCTGGACCCAGGACTCACTGAGGACCTGTATTTTTCCAAGTTTCAGGTCCTAATAGATATCCTCCTTCACAGACCTTGTCTAACTTCTGGGTTCTTTTCCTCCACTCTCTAGCTGGATGAAGGCACTCCTCCAGAACCAAAGGGCACCTTCGTCGACTATCAGACAACTGTAGTTAAATACTCCAAAGCCATTGCGGTAACAGCTCAGGAAATGGTAAGAAGAGAAAACGCCACCCTGCCCTCCTGCCCTCCGTGGTTACCCTTCTGCGCACTGGGTGTCATCGGGAGAGGGGGGTCTGTGTGGGTGGGAGACCTGGAACTGCCCCCAGATCCCTCAGGTCCAGCTCCTGTCCTCTGTCTCTGGTGCCCCCAGGGCCCATCTTCCTGGGCCTCATCTCACAGTATAGCTGCGGGAGAGGACAGAAGGCTCAAGGACAGGGGAGGGGAGGAAGGGGCAGATGAGAGGCAAGGAGAAAATGGAAAAGAAAGTTGGATTTAAGATGGGGAAAATGGTTTCTTCTGCTCTCAAAGGTCTTGGGGTGTTTTCAGAGATTAAGGTGATGGGCATTGGAACTGAACAGAGAATTATGGATTTGTGACACCTAGACAGTTCAGATGGAATGAAGAAATGTGATGATTAAGGAGCAGGAGGCATGGGCCTCGGGGAAGTTTGCATTGCCTTGTATATGCTGTATTCAGCCCAGTTCTGTGTGACTTTTCAGCTCCAAGGGGTTTTGAGAGGCCATGCATGTTCTCTCCATGAGGTGATGGAGAAAAGTCCTATAAAATAACACAAATGGTGCCCTCCAAGAACTCTTGGAAGCACAGAGTAAGAAAGCTCCTCCCAACTTTGGAAGCCTCTGGAAATCAGGGCATAGTTCTGAAAGATGCTTCTCTCAGACTCCCAGGCTGAGTGGAACCCTAAGGGGTCAACCCAACAGCAGCCTGGTTGCCTCCCGCCGGCACTCTGTCATCCTGATGTGTGTCATATTCCTCCCACATGGCTGCTCCTTTCTAGAAACTGGGGGTGTCAAGTGTGCTGGCGTCTCTCAGGGTTGGGGCTGGGAAGGCAGGTGGGGTGAGCCCACCCCCGCAGAAAGCGACTTCAGGCACCCAGGAATGGGCCAGAGGCTGACTCAGGCAGTGCCTGGGGCACATCCTCTGAACCAGGAGCTCGGGAAGTGTCCTGAGCAGCCTCTGGTGTTCTGGACTAGCTCCCAGCCTGCTCCTCAGCAAGCCTGTGTGGGCTCTGGGATTCACATCTCAGAGAATAACCTCGTGGGGCTATGATCGCTCTTGAGCCAGCCAGACCCCCTCACTGTGGCAGGTCAGTATGCTCCTCCCAGATACAGCAGCTCTGGGACCCTTCCCTGAGCCTAGAGCTGAGCCACCCTGTTCCCTGGCGACCAGGCCTCCCTTACGGCAGCCACACAGGCACTGTGGTGGGAACCCCTTGAGGGCCTTCCTAGAAGTTCTTTCAAATGCAGCTTTTCTAGTGCCACACACAATGAGAGAGATGAGCGCCATCCAGTGGCAGAGAGGATGTGGGACAAGTCAGAGTGACCGTCCTCAAAACCACTGTTGCCAGGACTGTCACAGGCAGGAAAAGCACTGGGTAGCAGTGTGTGGACAAGGTGGGTGCCACGGGCATTGCTCCTGTGAAACAGCAAGAATATTCTAGCTCCATCTTCAAGCCCTCCGATCTGACCCTTTCGACAGTTGTAGATTAGGACCTAAATGTGTGGCTGAAACCTTGTTTGGGGACAAATTTGTTTTGAGAGCAGAGCCATATGCTTTGAGTTTCTCCCTCCCACGCCATTGGTGATGCCTCTCAGAAAGTGCCCAGAAATCCTGTCCTCAGTCTCTCTCCTGCGGGATCTCCTTATAGACAGCATAAGAAACCTGTTCTGGGCTTTCCCAGAGACATCCCTGAGTGATCACAGTAAGAACAGCCTGGGCTCTGAGCTCCCACGGCCAGCTCCCTGCTGCACGTCTGCACCCAGCATGTCCCCGGGCCCAGTTGGGACCTTCGACTAGCAATGCTCTGTGTCCGTGACCCCGCATGGACTTGAATTGGCCCCTCCCCCATGTTCAATGCAAGTCCGCCTTGCAAGTGACCGAGATCCCCGGCTTCCGGTGGTCTCCACACAGTTCTCATGCTTTTCTCTATATGTATGTGTGTGTCTTGCTTGTTTTCTTTTTCCAGATGACTAAGTCGGTTACTAACCCGGAGGAGTTGGGAGGACTGGCCTCACAAGTCACCAGTGACTATGGGCACCTGGCTCTGCAGGGCCACATGGCAGCAGCCACGGCGGAGCCAGAGGAGGTCTGCCACCTTAAGCCATATTAAGCCCCTGTTTTCTGAAGCTGCACACCCTGGCGCCCGCTCCTGGGGGTTTCCCATAGCTTAGGCTGCTGTGGATGCACCCAGACCCCTAGCCCTGCCAGGCTGGATGCCTGCCTGTGTGCTCAGCTCCAGGCTGTGTCCTTGGTTCTCTGTCCTTTCCATGGCCACCTCTGAGACCTGGAGCTGCAAGGGGCAGGGATGCAAGATAGGTCTCATCTACCATGCTCTGTAGCCTCGGGGTCCCCACTACTGCCCAGTGCACAGGGCAGGGCCCCCAGTGCTATCTCCCCCCACCCTGCACCCTCTTCTTTCTCAGCACCCCTCAATTCCACCTCTGTTTTCCAAGGGTTTGCAGAAGTGCCACAAGAGACAGGTAGGAGTTGAGCTGCTACTCTCTCCAGGGAGGGCAGCTTTGTGCCTGCTTTTGTGTTTGGTCCACGTGTTTGAGACAAAGTCTGCCCTGCTACTGGTGGCGGCTTTGCCAAAACTGACCCATCCCCCACAGGGGCCTGGCTGCTTCCTGTCTTCCCTCAGCTTCTGGGGGAGTAGTGCTGAATGTCCACACTGAGGGGAGCCAGACAGCTCAGGTCTAGCTGCGATCACTGCTTGTCTCCATCCCTCTGGGAAGGGCGGTGCTCTCTCAACTGCAGATGCAGGGTCTCTGTCACACCCAAATTGGTACCAACACACAGACTGAGTCAGTCTCCAGATACCACATGGCTCCTTAGAGGGAAAAAGAGCCCAGTCTGAAATAAAGCGCCCTGAAGTGTACTCTAGATGAGGGTCTCAAGATCCTGAGGGATCCACCTGCTATTTGTCAGAGCGAATCCACCCTGATCCCAACTTTCCATGATAAACCAGGCCACCAGGACCATGGTGACTAGCTTCCCTTGCCCTCACCATGACAGATTGCTGAGTTCCTTCTGGAGCCAGGACTAAGCTTATGACTTAACAAGGGCTGCCCAAGCAAACGCAGATATGAAGACCAGAGCCCAAATCACTCTAACTTAGGCCATAACCATGCATGCACGCAGCTGCGTACTGGCATTCATACATGCCTCTAGCTTGGGGTGAATGGGTTTCTAACAGTGCCTGTGTTTGGAGAGATGATCATGATTGACTTTAGCTCAAGCACGAATAACTGTTTGTGGTGAACCTGCAATGTAACTACCAAGTCAGAAAAAGGAGTGAGGTACACATTATGCATATGTGGATTCCACATACAGGGTCCCTTGGAACAAAGTATTGACTCCTTGCCTTTCAATCATTGTGCATTTGATTAAACACGCAGTTTTGAATTTCAAGATAATTAGAAAGAAACTTAGGTTCCAGTAAGGATGCAAGGAAGAAGAGCCCTGTTTGGGCAGGAGGTGAAACAGTAGACACTGTTTGTGAGGAAGGGCTGGGATCTCCAGCTCCAGAAAGCTTGGAAGTATACTCTGCAAGCAGCTGTCTAGGAGGAGTTGAAGTGCTCATCCTCCTGACTCCCTGAACGCAGTGCAAGAGAGCTCAGGAAGCCCTTGGAACCCCTGCATGCTTGGGACCCTCGGTGGAAGGGACTGATTTTATTGCAGTTCAGGCCACCGAAGTCAAATATTGAGGAGTGTACCTTAGTGGGCAGGAAGTGCATTGCTTTGCTTCCCTTGTTGGTCTGCATGTTTGCAGGAACTGCACTTATTTTCCTCTTGTGGTTTTTCCTTTTTATTGTTACATGTTGAAATGTACTTTATATTCCAAACGTAAAAGAAGGGGTCAGAGAGAAGATTACCAGCAGTCTGCTAAGACAGTGCTCTGTGTGTATTTGCCATACAGATATTTGGAGGGAAACTGAAGAGGTGGAGAGATCGCTAAAGCTTTTATTCAAGACTGGGAATTATTTGCATACCCCAGAGACACCCCATCCCCACCCCATGCGTCACAGCCTGTGCGAATATTTATATAGGGGCAAGGCAGAAGCCACTGGCTTCACTTATGGTCCTACATTGGGCTGGCTGAGTCAGCATTTGGGTCTTTTCCAGAGTGTGATGGTTACAGGGAGAGCCACGTCTCTTTTTAGGGATGCCACAAAGGATCTCTCTGCTTCTTTGTCCCTGGAAAATTCAGGCTTCCATTTACATCTCAGTGAGCATGTCTGGAAGTGAAGGCCCACTGGTTGTTCATTCAGGATGGGCTTCCTCCTGGAAGGCAAGAAGAAAGCCACAGTTCCTAAATGTCAGAGCTGGGACAAGGGGTCCTAGCTGCAGCTTGTCTCAGAGCTTTCCCACTGCCTCTGCTGGGACTGGTCAGGAAGGCAGGCAGGAGTCTGGGAGAGAACAGCAGTGCTTGCCCCAAGATGGGAAATTCTGCTGTCTGCTCCAGAATTCTCTCAACTTTCCACTCTAACACAGGTTTTCTGTGCTTCACAACTTCTCTTGCACTTTCTCAGTCTGTATAAAAGAAACCGTAACGATGTTGAGTAATATCAGCCCTTATGAACATCCCAAACAAGACAGAGAGAGTGAGTGTGTCTGCATGAATGTGTATATGCATGTGTGTGCACATGTGTACGTGTGTATGCTTGTGTGTGTGCAAGTGTGTGCATGTGTTGTGTGTGCATGTGCGTATGCATGTGTGTATGCACATAAATGTGCACATGTGTGTATGTGTAGTGTGTGTGTGTTCACATGTGTGTGCATGTGTGTGTGAGTGTGTGTTTGTGTGTGCTGCTAGGGATCTGAACCCAGGACCTACAGGTGCTAGGCAAGTGCTTTACCCCTAGTCCTCCAGGCAAATTTAATGTGACCTGGTTCCAGGTGTGACCGTTTTAAAGCTTGAAAAAGTTCACATGTTGTGCTTCCTTTTAAGCAGTAGTGCTGATCATATCTATTTTACAAGCTTCCATGAACAATTTTATTGCAGGAGTGGTATGGAGGTGGGGGAGGGGTGGTGTGGGCTGCTGGCCTAGGAAGCGGGTGTGTTCCTGCTGCTAGGAGGGAAAAGCACAGGAGCTACCAAAGCTCTGATATAAAAGAGCTTTAGATCAGAGCTACCAAAGCTCTGGGCTTAGCTGGACCAGGAGTCCCAGCAACGTGGCCGGGAAGGCCTTTGTGCCCAAGCTCATCAGGTTGCTCTCCGGGTCTCTGGCTCTGTAAGTGGAGAGTTGGAAGCTGGAAGCGTCAGACCTTCCTCAGTTTGAGATTTACTCTTTCTCCCTCATCTGCTCCTCACCTGCCTTGCTGGGCACCCCGAGTGTTTAGAGATCTGATGGTCCCTGACAGGAAGCTGTCCTGCCTTTGCATCAGTCCATGAGTACTGGGGTCAAATATGTGAATTTGAAGATGCCTCGAGGGCTCCCTTCAGCTTGACCTGTGTCTACACAGGCAGGTGGCTAGCAAGCACGTCCCTGGGTCACACTCTGGGTTGAGTCAAGCCTCTTCCCGGAGCAGTAGCAGCCTCGCTTGTGAGGTTCTGGCATGGCTGACCACAGGCTTGCCTGATGGCAATGCCACATGGCTCCCCATGGGCAGAGATGCTCAACTTTCTGGGTGAGGAGACGTTTCTGCTCGACATGCTTAAATAATGATCTCTGCCTTTCTGAAGAGCAGAGTATGTTCCTGTGAGTGAAGACTGAGCATTTGTACCCCTGAACCTCTGAGCAGCGTGTGATGCTGGAACGTGGTGTCTATGTGTTGCACTTGCCTGAGTCATACTCCCAATACCTAAAATCTGATTTTTCACAGAACGAAAGGCCACAGCTTCTTGCTACCATAGAGTCTGGCCACAGCAGCTAACCCAAACACTTGTTTTAGTTACTTACCAGGACTGGAGGGTAGACTACTATATTTGTATAGGGACCCATTCTGCATGCAGTGCTGGGAAACTGTGAAAGTGCCCAAGGCATGTGAATTTTTTGAGATATAATTCATTACCTTAAAGTCAGCAGTAGATCCCTATTGGAGCACCTTTGACTTCCTTCAGGCAAAGTACCTTTATAATCACAAACCAAGGGTCACTGGAGGAATACGTGCAGCCCGACTGCCCCCAGCTCTAAAAAAAGTGTCTCATCTATCAGGCCTCCAATCTGACTTCATAGAAAGGGAGCCTGGAGCATCGTGGGGCTCTGTGAAAGAAAGGGGTATTCCGAGCTGGTAACCAATTTTGCAAGAATGTCAACACTTAAAAATGTGCTTCAGATAAAAGCAAAAATTGTGGACTTGTATTTGCCCTCTAGGGGTATCGTGAAGAATAAATGAATTTAAGGTGTTTCCTGCTTAGAAGAGGCCACGGAAGCATGGACAAATAGTGGGTGTGTCCCATAGACGAGCCCTAAAGCAGGCTGGATGGGTGCCCCAAGGACTAGCGTGAGGTGCGGCGGACTCACCCACCACACACTGGACTGTTGGCAGTCTCCAAAGGGGGAAACCAAATAACCAAATTCTTCCACACTTCCCCAAGCAGACTCCCCAGAGCAGTGGAATTTTCCTAGCCAGGTCCCCTAGGCAGCGGGAGAAATTTTCCACATGGGGAAGTGCACTGTGGCCGGTCCTTCAGGCCTGCCCTCTCCTTCCCCACCGACCTTGCTCCTCAGATCAGCTTCCAGATACGCACCCGAGTGCAGGACCTGGGCCACGGCTGTATCTTCCTCGTGCAGAAAGCAGGGGCCCTGCAGGCATGCCCCTCCGACAGCTACACCAAGAGGGAGCTGATCGAGTGCGCCCGCACCGTCACGGAGAAGGTGAGTAGAATTCAGCCACAGGAGGTCTGGCCCCTGCCCTCGTAGCCTCGGGGACCCAGAGCTGACCCAGGCCCTGAGAGATGGGAAACTGAGCTGGGAAGCCACAGGCCCCTTGTGGGACCCGTACTCCCTTGTGGGTCAGCCCAGCACCGGGAGGCCTTCCCAATGGCTGCCTGGGACGCTGCCCCTGCACTGCCCTTTCTGGAGGCTCCCAGGTGCTTGCAAGCTTCTAGGCCTTTGCTGGAGCACAGACAGCTGTTGGTGGAGGGAAGCATGGAGGGTGGAGACCAGACCTTGGGATCCTACAAGGCTGTTTCCTCGGATTGTTAACTAAAAAGCCGGCCCCGTGGCTAGAGGGAGGTGCGGAGAACATGGTGTGCTGTGGAAAGGCGCCGGGCCAGGTTCCCTGAGCACAGCTCTGCACTTAAATGCCATCCACAGCACGCTGCAGACTCCTTTGGCATGCGTGTCCCTCATCTGTTCCATGCCCCCTTTCTCCCTGTTCTCTCTGTGCTGCTTTCTGAGGCCTTTCCAGAACAGCTCCAGCCTCACTTCCCTTGGTCCATGCGATAGAGCTGGGCACTGTTCAGAGGCTTGGCAGCAGGTCTGGCGCGCCGGCAGGGTCCCTCCCCTGGAAGGCCACCCCAGGGGCCCTCAACTCTGAGCAGGCCTCCAGCTCCCCTGCGCCGGGAGTAAATCTTTGATCTTGCTCACCCTCCCACCCTCCTGTGATTGAAGCTTGAGGCTTGGTGGCTGGAATGGTGTCAGGTGAGGGGTACACGCAGTTCTGCAGGATGCTGGTTAGGACTCAGGGGACAGTCAGAGGTTGGCAACTACGATAGAGCCTCCTGTCAACCTCTCTGAGGTCCACCCTTGACACCTTCCAGCCCCATGAGGTGTCTGGGTTAAGTGTGCCCAGCAGCCACGCCCCTCACCTGTGCACAAACCACACCCTTCACCTGTGCACGTGCCACGACCATGCCCTTCACCTGTGCACCTGCCATGCCCCTCACCTGTGCACCTGCCATGCTCCTCACCTGTTTACTTTTCTGTCCTCATTCCCTCAGAGCTGATAGCCCAGTCCTCCCTCTGCCTATAATGAAGGCTGTTCCCTGGACCCCTTTTATTTCTTGCTTGCTGAGACTGTCCCACAGACTTCTCAACTACTTGTCTGGGCATTTGTCCTAACCCTCTGGGAGATATTTACAGAAGTTTAGTCCTCCTTCCTACCCCAGTTCTGGACCTTGTGAGATGTGAGACCTAGTGGGGTCTAAATCGGAGCAGGTCAAGGGAGTGAAGGGTGCCATTGTGTGGCAAGCAGCACCCACACCTGCTGTGAACCCCCTCAGGAAGGCACTGGTTTCGGTCCTACACTCTGGGCTGGGATGTGACTCAGCAGGAGCTCTCATGCCTTCAGGCACGAGGCTCTGGGTTTGATCCCCAGCACTGCAGACATGTCTCGGACCTGTGCTTCTGGCAGGCATGTGTCCCCTATCCCGGTAGGTAGCCTTTCTCTTTCCTTTGTTCCAAGCTTGAAGTGTCCCCAGAATTGCTGTGGGGCCCACATAGCACCAGAGATGGAAGCTGGGGCCTTCAACATACAATACATACAACGTGCCTCGCCTGCCACCTTGCACCACAGTCTGGTCTGTGATGTTCTGGGCGGAGGGTAGGAGCATGGTGCTGGGCCCAGACTCAGAACAGGCTGAGTCGGGAGAGTTCATGGCTGGAGAAGGGGATGCAGAGCATGTGAGGACCATGATTGATTGAGTGCAGCAGGTGGGGCCTGCGGGAGCCTGTCATGCAGAAGCATGGGGTCGGCCCTGAGGAAGGAAAGTGTCTCAGGACAGAAGGATGCACTTGGGGGTGGCAGTGGTCTTCCACAAATCTGAGTGTAATTCAGTTATATGTCGGCCCTCAGTGGGGCTCTTAATATGTGCCAAGCACCAGGCTGGCCCCTGAGACACTTTTCCTCTAATTTCCCGGCATCCCTAAGGCCGGAGCAGTGCTGACCCATGAAAAGAGTAAACTATAGCCAGCCCGTTGGATGTTGCTCAAGCCTGTGCTGGATGCCCTAGGCTGCTGCAGGAGCACAGTCAGCATCTGGGAGCACCATCAGATTTCCCTGGGAGCACAGTCAGCATTTCCAGGGAACACAGTCAACATTTCTGAGGGAGCACTGGATGGCATTTCCAAATGAGCACAGACAGCATTTCCTGTGGCTCACGTTAGCATCCGGGAGCCCAGTCAACATTTTGGGGGAGCACAACCAGCATTTCCTGGGGAACATAGCATTTTCAGGGCACACAGTAATTTCTGGGTGCCAGGTACCCACCATCTGCCCTCCTCTGCAGGTATCCTTGGTGCTCTCAGCTCTCCAGGCTGGCAACAAGGGGACGCAGGCCTGCATCACAGCTGCTACGGCCGTGTCTGGGATCATCGCTGACCTGGACACCACCATCATGTTTGCCACTGCCGGGACGCTCAATGCCGAGAACAATGAGACCTTTGCAGACCACAGGTTTGGGGGTTCTGGTGGACTTGGGTGTGTTCTGTAGGAGTCAGCTGGGTGTGTGGGGAGAGGGAACCCAGAATGAATACCCAAGCAGAGGGTGTGGTCACGGCCCTTCCCTCCACACACTGCACAGCTCTCCAACCCAATGTTAAGGGGCCACTGCTGGCACCTGGGGAAGGGACTCCTCCTGCTCCCTCCCAGGCAGGTTGGTGCCAGGGATATGCACCAGCTTCCAACACCCCCCTCCCATCACCCAAAACCAGGCAGAGACAGAATATCTGTGTCCTTTCCAGTGAGCAGGGCTGATGTCCCAGCCAGTCCCCACTCACAAGGGAAGGTCTGGCAGGGCCATAAAGGGCACTGAGAATGAGGTTGGGTCAGAAGGAGCCTGTGGGCCAGCTCAGGATCCCAGTCCCCACACTTGACCCACGTGGTGCCAGTCTGGTTTTCCTCTCTGTATCCCACTTCTGCCAAAAATGTTCTTTTGCAAAGCCCTTTCCCAGCTCTCCACCCACTGCCTTGCAGGGTCCTTCTCCTGCACCCCAGTGAGTCTGTTCCACCCTTGTCTCTCCTCCCCAGGGAGAACATCCTGAAGACGGCCAAGGCCCTGGTGGAGGACACGAAGCTGCTGGTGTCTGGTGCTGCATCTACCCCAGACAAGTTGGCCCAGGCTGCCGAGTCCTCGGCGGCCACTATCACACAGCTGGCTGAGGTGGTGAAACTGGGCGCAGCCTCCCTGGGTGCTGATGACCCAGAGACCCAGGTGAGTGAGTGCGGGCCTGAGAAAATGGTAGGGGCACTACTGGTCACCCCATGCACAGTGTCAGTGCCAAGAGTAAAGTAGGAGCCTGAAGAGAGGTGCCAAGTGTATCTCTGCTATGGGTCAGAGAAGGCACAGACCTCCATCAAGGTGGGGCAAGAAATGCACTGCAGGCCCAAGGAGGGGGCATGGCCAGTTGAGGGTACCCTTGGAGACTCCATGGGGCATTCTGGGGTCGAGAGTATCAGGCCTGTGAGTCCCATGTGGACACACTATCATCCTGGAACTGCCAGAGCTGTGTGCAGAGGAGTGAGCAGACTGCCCCAGCACAGGGCTGTGGAGTCCAGGGACCTGCCTAAGCTTGGGGGACACCCACAAGACTGGACTGAGTCGGTGGAGTCAGTGCTGAGGCAGCCTCACATAGGACTCTCTGAAGGGCACAGATGGAGAGCTCAGAGGGATGATCCTTCCCCATACTGCGTGGCCAGCACTGCTTAGGAGTGACCTTGAGCCCTGAACAAGGCCATATATGTCCCAGACACAAACAGAAACCCCACACAGATGTTTCAGAAGTTCCTTGGGGGTGTAAGAAAAGTGTCTCAACTCACCAAGAGGGCCAATGGGTGAGAGACTCGCCCCCGTGCCATGGGGCACTGTGGACCTACCTGGCCTATTTGGGTGATGGGGCCACCGAGGATGGGGGTGAACCCACAGTACACCTTCATGGCCCCTGGAGAGGTATCACCTTTAAGGAACCACCATGGTTGACACATCATCACAAGCTCAACAGATAGCACCGTGCTGGCACAACTAGATGTCCAACAAGTCACGTGTGGGTCTTGTCACTTTGCAGGGCCCGAGTGCTGGAGTCTTCCCTCTCGCTCCCTCCCAACACTGTCCCAGGGCAGAACCCTGCCGCAGTCACTGCTTGAACCCAGGGACGTAGGCTAGCAGCCCTGGTCACTTTGACCAGCATGAACAGAGCAAGAGAGCGCGCCCCCTGCTGGTTAGTGGGGGCATCAGGCACAGTGCAGGTCCCCGCTCAGCTCCAGCCAGGACTTCCCCCCTGTGGTGTCCCGTGTGCTGCTGAGCTCCAGAGGAACAATTCCATGGCTGCCATTTATCCCTCCTGCTGCCATTTATCCTGCAGAGCTGCTTTGGGAGTTTTCAGCATCCACAGAAACTTTCAGTAATGTTGCTGACCCTGTGGAGGAAGGGAGAGTTTGGCCACACTTTTCTGGCATGGCAGCCCACCCACTCCAAACTTGTAGTGGGAGGATGTGAAAATCAGAACACAGAAATGTTTAGAATTGCTTCAAGCAGTCCAGATAGTCTAAAGTCCCACCTTCTACTGAAACCCCCATAAAAAATTTACCTGCACCAGCCAGAGTGATAGTAAGGCACTTACCTTGCGTACAGCCAACCAAGGTTCAATCCCTGGCACCCCATACAGTTCCTAAGCCCCACCTTGAGTGATCCCTGAGCACAGAGCCAGGAGCAAGCTCTGAGCACAGCCAGATGTGGCCCAAAATAACAAAGAAAAGCACCCCTGTAAGGAGTAGATGGTCTCACTATTAGTTGCCCAGTGATTGGGGTTGACTAGGGGCATGCCAGATGCTAGCAGACTCTTTGCATTCTGTGCCTCAATTTCCCCCTGTGCTTGCCCTGCTGGAATGCCTGGATGCAACGTGAGACATTCCCTCACATGATATCTCATAGACCTTCCTGCACTATGGCCACTATGGCCGCACCTCCATGTGCCCCTCAGGTGCTCAAGCCTGGGATATTGGTTGCCGGGGGAGGAGGGTCAGGAGGGTGAGAACCATGGTGCTTTCCAGGACCCCTTACCTAGACACGTCCCTCCAGGCCCCTCCCTTAGACGCATCCTCCCAGCCCCTCACCTGACATGTCCTCCCGGGCACCTTACCTGGATGCATTCCCCCAGGCCCCTCACCTGGACGTGTCCTCCCAGGCCCCTCATTTGGATGCATCCTCCCAGGCTGCTCATCTGGGTATGTGTCCTTGCAGGTGGTGCTGATCAATGCCATCAAGGATGTGGCCAAGGCACTGTCCGATCTTATCGGAGCCACCAAGGGAGCAGCCAGCAAACCAGCTGATGACCCCTCCATGTACCAGCTCAAGGGCGCTGCCAAGGTAGGTGGCATCCCAGCATGGGCAGCCTGGGTGCAGGGACCAGAATAATTTGGGGACTGCAGGAGTTTGGGGTGAGTTCCAGATCCCAGCATCCCTCGTTCCTCTTTCTCTGCAGGTGATGGTGACCAATGTGACGTCCCTCCTCAAGACTGTGAAGGCGGTAGAGGATGAGGCCACGCGTGGTACGCGGGCGCTGGAGGCCACAATTGAGTACATGAAGCAGGAGCTCACGGTAGGAGCTCAGGGACAGCTCCTGAGCCTGTCCCCAACCCAAGCAGCACAGTCCCTCAGGGACTTTCCATTAAAGAGGAAAGAGGGTTTCTGGGGCTGGAGTGATAGCACAGTGGGTAGGGCATTTGCCTTGCACACAGCCAATCTGGGTTCGATTCCCAGCATCCCATATGGTCTTCTGAGCACTGTCAGGAGTAATACCTGAGTATATGAACCATGTGTAACCCCTGTGCATCGCCGGGTGTGACCCAAAAAGCAAAAAAAAAAAAAAAAAAAGGTTTCCCTGGAACCGGCTCAGCAGTGTAACTAGGCGTTAACTGGACAGATGCTTGAAACTCCTGAGGCATAAGCACACTAAGGCTGTGGCTTGGACCTGGAGAGGGAAGCTGAGTGTGGCCTTGAATTTCTGTCCTGAGTGCCCAAGCTCACACCACTGCCTGCATTTGGGAGTGAAGTTTGCAGCTAAAAAATGTGGACAGGGCTGGAAGGGCTGGAATATGCAGAAACCCCAACTTTGATCCTGCCTTGCCAGCCCCCCTGCCAATACCACCCAATGTCACCTGGTGGTCTCTGCTTGTGAGGTTGAGAGCTATGTTGTCACCAGGCTTACTCGATCAGCCTGGGGTCCATGAGCTTTACTTGAGAGCAACATTCCCAAGACAGAGAAGGGAAATCATGGATGAGTTTGCATGGAACCCCTCCCTTTGAAACCTGCTGCATTGGATTGGGGAGCAGACCCCAATTGAAGCCATCCTCAGATTGAGTTGTTCTCCTGCCTTTGGCCAGAAGGAAGGGTTCAGAGAATGCCTCCTGCTGCTCTTGCAATCCATGGCATCTGTGAGAGACCAACCTAGACCCCTAGAAATAGAAATAAGACAAAAACAAGGCATTTCAATCTGAGAACTCCTTCTTCCCCTTCATTTTTTGGTGTTTTATTTAAGCTTATGGTCTTACCCAGGTCGTGGCTGAGCTCAGATTTCTTTTTGTATTTTTATTTTTTTTTTAATTTAAAGGTTATCTCAAGAAGTGCTCGGGGTGGGGACCCCTCCCAGCTATTTCAGCCAACAGGGCTAGATGGTTAAGGCAGGACCCCAGGATGTGGCATTGCCCAGGCCCTGCAGTGCCAGGACCACTGGGGCTGTACCCGGGGTGCTGGGGGCCTCCAGGCCACACTTGGGAGACCAAATGGCATGCAGGATTGAACAAAGTCGAGACACAGGTGGTTGGGGGTTCAGCTTTTGAAGTGAGTTTCTCTCAATTCCTAGAATGGAGTGCTGGAGTCATCTCACTGTAGAAGTTCTGGGGGTCTCTCAATCTCTTTATTTAGTGGGGACTGGTGCTGTGCTGAGTTCTTCCATAGGAGTGAAAGCCTGCAGGGAGGGTCCTGGCTTATCCAGCCTGGGGCCCCTTCTAAGGTGGACACACCTTCTGGCAACATATTGGCAGCCCTCATGGCTCCCCAGGGGACAAAAGTGAAGGTTGCGTTTTCCCTGCAGATTCTAGATGTGGAACCCTCTCGGGACTCCAGTGTCTGGCCTCCATGTGCAGTGTGCTTCTGTGAGCCCACAAGGGGCTCCCAAAAGAGGCGCCCCCATGGGAGAGGAGGGGCACTCGTGTGCAGATGCCATGTGGCCATACCCCATGCAGTGTAAGGGGGTCTTGGCTGTACCCTTGCAGCTACCATCTGTAGCGGGGTTGTGCAGAGAATCCTCTGTCCTTCCTCTGCTGCGGCCCTGAGATCCAACAGCACTGACTAGTCTGGGCACTGTGCTCCAGGGCAGATTTCAGATGGACAGTCTGTGCTGTAAAGAGAGACAGAGGGTTTGGAGCAGGGTCTGTAAGTGGGCTCTTGCTTCCCTCACCGTGGCTGATGGGCCTCCACATGGCTGAGACTGAGTGAGTGGCCCATGGTGCCCTGATTGGGTTGTAGCTCTATGTGTAAGTGGCTCCCATGGGAGAACCTGTGCCTGGTCCCTAGCATGCCTTCCTAGGAGATGGAGACCTGTGCCTGTCCACCCACACACCGTCCTCCCAAGACCAGCCCCAGGAGTGAGGGTTTCTGGGAACTGCTCCAAGATGTGGGTCAGGGAGCCCGCAGGAATGGGCTGAGACCATCTCTACAACAAAACAGTCAGGCAAAATTTCCAACCTGCAGGTACCTGATTCTTCCCCTCACTGGTTTAGGGTCAGACCCTGAGCAGCCAGCAGAAGAATGGACCATCCCTGCCCTCCACTGTGACACATCTTCTCATCAGCGCTTGTGTCTCTGACCCACAGGTGTTCCAGTCAAAGGAGGCGCCTGAGAAGACATCGTCCCCGGAGGAGTCCATCAGGATGACCAAAGGCATCACCATGGCCACGGTCAAGGCTGTGGCTGCGGGCAACTCATGCCGGCAGGAGGATGTGGTCGCCACTGCCAACCTGAGCAGGAAGGCTGTGGCCGACATGCTCATGGCCTGCAAGGTACAGCTCCAGGTTGTGGCTAGCTATTTCCAACTGGGACTGTGGTGGGAGATGCTTGCAGGTGTGGGTGGGCCCAGGCAGGGAGGGCTTCTGTAGGTTTGTGCTGGGAGAGAAATGTACCAGTCATGGGGTGAACCCCCTTTGTACTCTAAACTCTGCCTCCTCCCCTGTGGGCCCAGCTTGTGCAGGGCAGGAGGACACTGTGAGCCATTGGTGAGGGCTCACAGTGTCCTCCTGCCATGCAAACAAAAGCTCAGGCAGCTATGTGGGGAGTCAGCCCAGTGCCATGGAGGCTGCTGAGGGCTGTGTCTGAGGTATCCGGGTACCACTGAGTTTGCAGCTTGGCTGAGGATGAATGGCGAGAGGGGCATGAGGAAGTAGCAATCCCATGGCCTACCCTGAGGCCTTGCCCAGGATTTATTGATGTCACAAGCGACTAGGTGGGGAGGTGGGAAGGGAGAAGGTTGAAGGACCAGGTTCAGTGACAGCCCCAGGGCTCTACAGAGGCCAAAGTGGAAACTGAGGTGGGAGGGGCTATGCAGGAATGTGGAGGAGGAGTTCCCAGGGCTCAAGACTCCCACCCAGGAAGTTGCCTAGTGGGGGGCCCTGCCTTCGACCCATGGCACCCTGCTCTCACTCTACTCTATTCCCACAGCAAGCGTCTTTCCACCCTGATGTCAGTGAGGAGTTGCGCAACAGAGCCCTGCACTATGGGACTGAGTGTACACTGAGCTACCTGGACCTGCTGGAGCACGTGCTGGTGGTGAGTGGTGGCAGAATGGACAGAGCTGGGCCTTGAGGTCAGGCTGTCCCTGCTTTCAGCAGGCCCCTGCTGTCAGTGGGGCAGGTGGAGCTGCAAAGACTCTCGCACTGCCCCATCTTCACAGAGCGGAGAGGGTGGCCATGCAGGAGGGTTTGGAGCCAAGTTCTTCCTGCCTATGGGCTGGATTCAGGGTGAGGGGGCTGGGGGGGTGACCCAGCACCTAGAGAGGAGCTGAGTGAATGCAGAAGCTGCAGGAGAGGCCAACTATCTGCTGAAAGCATGTTGGAGGGAGCAGTGGAAGGCAGCCGAGAGAGGCAGGGCTATGGGCATTTCCTCAAATGGATACTTGGACCAGAACAAGACTTCCCCAGCTGTGTCTACTCGTCACCCTCTACACTGGAACATCTTTATATGACCCCTGACAAATAAACATAAAACAGGAATAGAATCTGGCAGTTTCTGACAATAAAGTGTCAAGAATATATTTCAGCTCAACCTCTTTTTTCATCTTTCATGACCCCAGCAATGCCCTCTCACACAGGGTATTGACCCCCAGTTTCAGGAACAAGGGAGAGAGACATGGCCTTGTGCACACCACATGGAGCTGGTCACATAGGCCCATGTGGGAGATATTGGTGGCAGGATGTGACAGTGGCCCCTGATGGTCCACTCAGGATCGGTTCTTGGGATATTTGACCCTTCCCAGTTCCTAACAGCCAAACCATGGAGATCCAGAAGAACTTTTCGAACCCCGTTGGATCCTGAGAGACATGTTTACAAACTTGGGAGGTTGGGGTGTCCCCAAAAGAGAATTTGGGAGCCAGGAATACTCCCAAAGCCGGTGTGGTTTCAGCAAGCACAAATGAAATTTCTGAGCCTGTGCCTCTGCAGACATTGGTTCCTTAGTGAATGGGCTCAGGCTTGTGTGCCCCAGGTGAACTGCCCCAGACTGGCCATGCTCACAGAAGATACAGGGACCTTCTGCCCCTCCACCACTGTCACTTGGGGGGAGACAGAATGTCATGGTGTTTTTGAAGACACAGATGGCTCCTCCTCCCAGGGCCTCTGTGTATGAGGAGAGACAGGTGAGCTGGGAATGACATACCTGGAATCTGTCCCAGGCCCTAGCAGCTAGGTAAGCAAGGTGAGCTCAGCAGAGGAACCAAACATCTCTGGGTCTCAGCTCATCCTTGCTTCACATGTGCCAGGTGAGAAACACATCAGGGCTTAGCCCTCTCCCACTGTGCATCCTGCACCCGAATGTGGCCTCTTCGGTGTCTGAGTTTTTCGGCTTTCAAAGGAGAAAAGGTTGTAATGGGAGGAAGAAGACATTACCAGTCTTTGGTTTGCCCTGTGACACTCAGGGGAGAGCCACAGAGAGCAGTGGGACAGGGGCTTTCTTAGTGGGAAGCAACAGGAGCGTGTAAGTCAGAATCCGCATCTGTGCTGGGGACATGCTCTTGTGCATTAGTTCTTTTCTTGGAAGATTCAGAGAAAAATACAGCTTGGGGTGTCCTTTAAGTTGGATCAGAACATGGATTACAATGTCCAGAGAAAATAAAGTATAAGAGCTCAATTAAAGGAACCACCAGGTACACTCCATTCCAGGGCCCTGCACTCACTCTCAGCTCAGAGCACAGGATCTGTCTCCCTTCCCTTTATGTCTCTCTCTCTCTCTCACTCTCTCTCTCTCATTTCCTAAATCAAACTGTTTCCTTCACACATTAATGAGTAACAGTAAAAGACCTGCACGCCTTCCTCTCCCACAGATCGTTCATCAGATTAGCCCATCAGAAATGGGCTCTCCTTTCCAGAAAAACCCCGTGGACAGTTGGCTGTTCTTTCTTGGGGCTTGGTATCTAAGACCCCACCTGAGTCATATTTTCATCTTGACACATGCACCCACCAGCTAACCCAAGCCCCATTTCCTGCCCATTCTGTGTTCTTACACTTTAGGTCATCTTCATGAATGTGTATTTTTACATACAAATATAAGTACAAAGGAGAGACAAGGAAGGTACAAAGACAAATGAGCACTTCCTGTTCCTTACGATGTTAAAGGAACTCAGTAGAAGGGATTGTAGAGAAGACCCAGCCCAATCCAGAAAGACTCGGCTTTGTATTTCCACACAAGTCTTCTGAGTCCTTTTCCCCAAGTTTCTGAAGTCACTGGGTATCACAGCTGCATCACACAGCTGAGACATCCAGCTCTGTGACACTTAGGACAGAGGGTTCTCTTCACAGCAACCACCACATTCATACCTTTGGTTTGCTCTTCCCTGGTAGATTTTGCAGAAACCAACACCCGAACTCAAGCTCCAGCTGGCTGGTTTTTCCAAACGTGTGGCAAGCGCTGTGACTGAGCTCATTCAGGCAGCTGAAGCCATGAAAGGTAGGTCATGGCCTCACCTTTCCTTGGACCCTCCTCCAAGGCAACACCAAGGGCTAGGCTGAGCAGGGAAGATGTCTGCACATCGTGCTTGGCAAAGGCTGGAGGGAGGGATAGAGAGAGGTATGCTTTATTTTTACGCAACTGGGAATAGCATTAAATTTCAAAAAGAATCATCTCCCCAAACAAGTTATGTCTTTGTATTAAGCATTACTGTGTGTGAGAGAGAAAGAGAGAGAAAGAGACAGATAGACAGACAGAGACAGAGACAGCAGACTCAATCTGTAGTCCTTTGTGCTAAACCTCATGTTAGAAAACTTGAGACTTTGTACATGACCAAATAAACCACAGTTTCAGCCCCTCCAGAAATGTTGCCTTTCACCTGAGCTTGACCTGTGGGTCAACACCATTGAGGTGGTTCCTCAGGAGCCTTCACCTGGACCACTTCCCTCACTCCTGGCATCCCCTGTCTCTAGATGCAAATTCCCATCCATTCAACCCTTTAGAGCTCCCTCAATGCTCTCAACTTAAAAAGCCATTTAACAAAGAATCCTTTTGGTTTTCAAATGGACTCAGATGAACTTATTTTCCTTTCTTTCCTTCCTTTTTTTTTTTGGACATATGTGATGGTGCACAGGATCACTCCTGGCATCCCTCGGGGTACCATATGGGGCACTAGCATTTGAACCAGGTGAGCCATGTGCCAGGCTAGTGTCCTCCCCATTGGACTGTCACCTCTGAGAGCATCATGCCAACTTTGTATCATGAATCAGTTGGCATGATGCATCAAGAACCACTCCCTTGGTCAGGCTCCTGCCTGCTCACTCTCAGACTCTTTCCTCATGGAGAGACTATTCTACAGAGAACAGAGCCTCTGGTACTTGGCACCTTTGTGGTCACCTGGGTGCACTCGACTCAGTAGGGAAGGGACTTTGTTAACCAACATCACTTGTTTTGAACTGAGTAAACAGGTCATTCCTCACATATTCCAGGAGTGGAGAGGGGTGCTGTGTGCCCAGCAACACCATCCAAGCACGGGCACCCCCAAAGTAGAAGGCACAGTGAGGCTTCTGCTGGGCTTGGTCCATGAGATCTTGATCCAAGTTGGTGTGCAGCCTATATACTGATTTAGAACAAATCAAACTCGTTTGCATAAGCACCATCTGCATTCACTCACCTCTGCTGGAGGCACTTCCTCCATACTGCCCCTTTCTTGCAAATCTAGATGGTGCTCTGAGTAAGCATTGAAGTCTGCAGCTCCTGAGAATGAACTTCTTTATTTTTGTTTTTTAATTTATTTTTTAAATTGCACTATCACTGTCACTGTCACTGTCCTTCCATTGTTCATCGATTTGCTCAGGCAGGCCCAGTAACATTGTGAAACTTGTTACTGTGTTTGGCATATCGAATACGTCACGGGGAGCTTGCCAGGCTTTGCCGTGCGGGCGAGATACTCTCGGTAGCTTGCAGGGCTCTCTGAGAGGGGCAGAGGAATCAAACTCGGGTCGGCCATGTTGGCTGCATGCAGGCAAACGCCTTATCCACTGTGCTATCACTCCATTTTTTCATCATGATTGGGGTTTAATCATACAATGTTCCAACACCCAGTCACTTCACCAGTGTACATTTACCATCACCAATGTCCCCAGTTTACATCCCATGGCCCCACTCTCCTACTTCTATGGCAGGCATTTTTCTTCTCTCTCTCTCTCTCTCTCTCTCTCTCTCTCTCTCTCTCTCTCTCTCTCTTGCTCTCTCTTTCCTTTTTAGCACTATTGATTTGTAATACAAGTACTAACTAGTTATCATGTATATCCCATTGCCGACTTTCAGCACTCAATTCTTGTTCAAAGTGATCATTTTCAACTCTTATTGTCAACTCATATTCTCTATCCTAACTGACCTCAGTGCTCTCCCCCACGCTCCCCTCCACCACCACACACACAAACACATTTGTGGCAAGCTTCCAACCATGGGCCAGTTCTCCTGGATGCTGTTTTTTTCTCTCCTTAGATATTAGTCTCATAGAATGTATTTTTATACCCCGTAGATGAGTGCAGTTATTCTGTCTGTCCCTCTCCTTCTGACTCTCATTTCACTCAGCATCATACTCTTCATTTCCATCCATGTATAATCAAATTTCATGACTTCATTGGATAAAGAAACATGATACATCTACACAATGGAATACTACAGCAGCCCCAAGGGAAAATGAGAATGACCCTCTTTGATTGCAGGGACAGAGTGGGTGGATCCCGAAGACCCAACCATCATTGCAGAAACGGAATTGCTGGGAGCAGCAGCGTCCATTGAGGCTGCTGCTAAGAAGTTGGAGCAACTGAAGCCGAGAGCGAAGCCCAAAGTGAGTGTCCATGTGCAGCCACTGGCCTAGTGTCCCTGGCCCTCGCAGGGTTGGTGGGAGGTGCCTGGGTTGGGGGTCTTGAGGAGCCTAGCTCCCTGCCTGGAGTTAGCTGAATACACAGCAGCCTGTTCTTAGGCACCCCAGTGTTCGTGGGCACAGATAAGCTCTTGGAATGGTGGAACGCTTTTGAGCTTTCATGCCTTTGGGGTTCAGAGGGAAAACAGATGTCTCAGGCTTAATTTCACCCCATCAAGTGTGAAGTGGGGACTGCACTTCCCATGGTCTCTACCTGAAGGGTAAGGGGCACCCTTTGTTTTCCACTCCCTATCCTGCTATGCTGCAGAGCAACAGTTAGTGTTAGTTAGTGTTGGATCTGTCATTCTGCAAGTGGATAACTATGAGGTGCCATGAGAACTTTGAAGCAGGACCAATAGCAGACAGTATATGCTATGGTTGCCTGATTTTCTTTCTTTCTTTCTTTCTTTCTTTCTTTCTTTCTTTCTTTCTTTCTTCCTTCCTCCCTCCCTCCCTCCCTCCCTCCCTTCCTTCCTTCCTTCCTTCCTTCCTTCCTTCCTTCCTTCCTTCCTTCCTTGTCATCTCGATGAATGTTTATAACTTAAAATAATGAGTGTATGTTAAGGGAAAGAGCCACTTAAAGGAAAGAGATGTGTTAAATGCAAACAATAGGGCAGGGGTTCACAGAGAGCTAGTAGGGTGCTGGCCTTATATGTGGCTGACTCAGGATCAACAGGATCAACCCCAGAACCCTATAGGGTCCTTCAAGCCCTTCCAGGAGTGATCCCTGAGCACAGGGATCCCTAAGCTCTGAGCATTACTGGTTATAACACAAAAACAAAAGAAAAAGGGGGGAGCAAGTGATAGGAGCAAACATTAGTAAATAATAATAACGGTATATTATTTATGACTAAGTAATAAAATGGTAAAATATCACATGGAGAGTGAATAGGGTGTCATCAGCCTCATTAAAGCTTTACTACTGCCGGCCCCCACAGCTCCATCATGAGGTGACAGCAGGATCCCAGGAAAGCCTCTTTTATTTTCCGATCAAGCAAGGCCCTACTTGCTCACCTCCCTTCCAAGGACCCATATGCAATAAGAAGTCACATCTGGCTCTTTCCCTCAAGGAGCTGCACACCTCCCTCCCTGACCCTCATGCCAGGCTTCCCATAGTTGCAGCTTGTCTGAAAGAGCTGAGAATGGCACCCAAGTGCTGGGCCACTACAAACTACCCCAAATTTTATATGAGCCCTGCCATGTGTGAGGTGGACCCAAGTGTGCTGCAAGTCAGATTCTCAGCACCTGCCTGACCCATGCTCACTCTTGAAATCCAGGCCCTGCATAAACAACTCTGCTGCAGCTCTTGGAAGCATGTTGGCTTTGGCCCCAGGGTGCCCCTCGGTACTCTCTGGAGGACTGAGGTTTTCTTGATTTTCCTTGAGAGCAGAGTGAAGGCTTAAGGTTCATCTCTGTGCTCTGCCTCTGTCACTGTTGCTGCCCCATGAGTGCAGTGTAACCCTAATGAAAGTATCCCTTCCACTGTAAAAGCCACCGTGGATATAGTCACAGAGGTGCCCCTATACTCTGGGGACTTCTTCTATTTGAATGTGTCACAGGTCAGCTCCTGGGGAACTGCCACCCTCGGTGTCCTGGAAAATAGCAGGACCCATTTCATAAGGGCATTCGCCATAGTCTGAGAGTTCCCTTCACCCACTGTCCCTCCTGAGGGGTCTTCTGGGCACTGCTCACTTTCCATCCTGGTCTCCCTCTACAAGCCTCTCACTCATCTGATGCTGCTTGAGCTGAAAAGCAATGATCCATGGCTTCATCCCAGGTTGGCTGTGGAGACAGTGAAGTGAGCCTATTCTGCCAGGCACTGCCTCATGTACATACAATAGCACCCAAACTAGCTAAAATGAAAAGCAGGACAAGTACCAGGAGCCAACGGCCTTTGCTGCACAGAACATAAGTCCAGGGCTACTGGAGCTCAGGTGTGCTTCTAGGTGCCTGTCCTGGGGGAACAGGTCCAGGCTGTCCTTTCTGCTTCTGCAATGTGGGTCAGAGGCAACTTCCTCCACTTCCACCCAGGGGTGCATCCAGGAGTCAGTTCCAAGTGAAGTCAAGTGTCCTGGTACAGGCTGGGGTGGGGGTGGGGGGGATGGAGAAGTGGGAGTAGGTCCAAGCTGTGTGTTCCAGTATCCACTCCACACCAGTCCCTGTGGCCTCCCAATGGCCCTCAGGGCACTCTGGCTTTGCCACCTTTGGTGACTTGTATGGCAGGAAGTTCAGAGGCAGGAAAGTTGGCTGTGAGTGTAAGTCCCTTGGAGAAATGTGCAAATACCCAGTGGTAGGACGGTAGCAGGGAGGAGACATTCAGGGCAGAGAGCCCAGCAGTACACAATAACACACATTCCTTAGAGCCACGATCCTAACAGGGAAAGCCCTATTGTTCTTGGGGGGAAGGCAGGTGGGAAATGTCCAGGAATGAAGGTGAAACTGGGTGGTGGGAGGGTCTGTGTGTTAGAGTTTTATCCAATAAGCTGTTTGCAATTGGCCATGACTACTGCAAGGAAGCAGCGGGCCTTTGAGTTTACAGTGCAGGACTGTGCCGGAAGCCAAGATATCCATGGTGAGAGCAGTTGATGGGACTCCACATTTCTTCCTGTCCTCCTGAGTGAACCACTGTACTGGCCTCACGGTGCTCTGTGGTCTCCACCTTTTCACTGGAGGCTCCCACTACCACAGGGGCTGTATTATCTAGAAAACACTCAGGAAGGTCTCTGACAAATTTTTATACAGCAGGCAAGGCATTTCCCTTACATGTGACCAACCCAGGTTCCATCCCTTGTCCCTGAACCCTGTCAGGAATGATCCCTGGACAGAGTCCAGATTATAAACCCTGAGTACCACTTGACATGGTCCCCAAGCCAAAACAAAAGTATCTTTTAGGAAAAATCAGCCCAAGTCACTTCCCTCAGCCTTTTTGTTAAAGCTTGCATGGACTCTCTCTTCCTTACTTAGGTAAAGAAATTTAATTCCTTGGTTAAAAACAGCTTTCCAAATCAACGTATCCACTGGAAGCTGACTGTTCTCCATTCCCTCCATTACTCATAAAATCAAATTATTCTGCAGGAGATGCTGCTGTTCTCTCATCCCCATTCTTGTTGCTTTGCATACAAATGTGTAACCTAGCACAGGGAGTACAAACCTATATTCTTTTTCTCTGGGGAGCACTGCTTGAGGAAAAGTTGGGGTGATGGGAAATATTTTTTGTTTCAATTGCTTTGCTCAGAACATTTCCAGGTTGCCTTTTAAAAAACCAAACATGGTTCCCTGAAACTGCCAGGAGAGACCCCTGAGTACAGAGCCAATATTAAAGCCCTGAGCACCACCAGGCATGGCTTCCCCAAGAAAAAAGTTGGTCCGTCCATGTGTTTATAAAGATGGTTTCTGGGACCAGAGAGATACTGCCTTGCATGTGGCCAGTCTGGGTTCGGCCCTGCATTTGGTCTTCCTAGCACCATCAGGAGTGGTCCCTGAGCACAGAACCAAAAGTAATCCCTGAGCACTGCCAGGTGTGACTAAACCCACTCCCCTCAAAGAAAATAAATAACATGGCTCCTGGTCTATTCTCAACTCAGATCCCTAAAATGACAGACTCTCTTTTGCCTGGATTCTCCCAGACATAGATACGCAACTACTGTGCTCTACTGCACTCACTGCTTGCTTGGGAAGTGGTCCACAGACCGTGTGAGATTGTGCCTGCAGTATCGTTAGTGGCATCATGGCCATACGCACAGGCACACTGGCTGCCCAGGCCAGAGAAGGACATGGTGACCATCCCCACAACTGTGGACTTCCACATCGTGCCTGTTCTCGCTCAGTCAAACCTGGATGCCTTTTCTGCAGGCCTCTGTGTGATATGTTTGATATATTAGGTTGTTATTTAATCCAACTATATATCAAACATATTCCTACAGTGTCTTGCCCTGTCTCCGGGGGTTCTAATCTAGTCAGTGAGGCAATAGGGAAGAACGTGCTCAGGGTAGTTTTAGAAGACAAGGTACTCACTGCACCTCACTGTGTGTGTTCCATTTTTTCTTGGAGCCTTTGAAAACTGTACCAAGAGCGCCACATTGCTTTGTGTCTTGTAGAGACCAGTCCTAATTACTGCTGATTCATGACAGCATACGATGTAATGTACAGCTGAGTTGTATGCCATGACATGGTTCCTTAAGAAATATATTTGATGGGAGAAGAAATGGAACTTTCTAGCCTATGTTTCTGATGTGGAATTATTACCTCCAGAAGCATCTAGATTTTTATTTCATTTATACTCAGTGGTATCCTTATTTTCTATTTAGAAATTCGTGATTTCGTTACCGAGGTTTCAGAGAAAATGTAATCACAAATAACTGTACCTTTTCTCTCCATCCATGGTACTAAAATATAACTAATTCAGCCCTGCCAACTGGCTGGTGAGAGGCTTCATCTAAACCTTGGTCAGGTGTATGGCCCCCAAACAACAACAACAACAACAAAAACCTATCTTCTATGGGGAATCAGTCCAAGTCACTTCCCTTTGTGATTTTGTTAATCATGTCTAATCAGGATGCACTGTCCATTGAATTTCCTATCATAGGCTCATTTGTCCATTGAGGATGATCGTATTTAGATGAAGGGGATTCCACAGCTGGAAGTTTAGGATTATGCAACATTTTTTTTCTGGCACATCACAACTCTTGTGGTGGCTCCGACCTCCTGTCCTAGCAGAGCCATGAACCATGTGTCAGTTCCTTCTGCTCTCTCAGCAGGGGGCTATGAGCTCTGCTCTTAGGGAAAGGACCAATGTGCTGTTAGCGCAGGGATGTGAGGGAGAAAAGAGGTGAGTTAAAGAGCATCCCTGAAGCTAGAGTGATAGTTCAGCTGGTAAGGCATTTGTCGAATATGTGGTAGACCCAGGTTTGATCCCCGACACTCTGTATAGTCTTGTGAGCCCCACAAGGACTTATCCCAGAGCACAGAACCAGGAGTAACCCCTGAGCAGAGCTGGGAGTAACCCAAAACATAAACAAACCTAAAAAAGCACCCCTGAGAGTCAGTGTGTGTGTGTGTGTGTGTGTGTGTGTGTGTGTGTGTGTGTGTGGTGTCTCTCTCATGTACCTGTCTCTATTTGTCCATCTGTGTGTCTGTCTGTGTCTATGTCTCATGTGTCTCGTGCAACTCTGTAATCAGATGATTCTTCCAGGGCCCTCACACAGTCAGCAGCAGTGGTTCAAGCAGGCCTGCCTTCCCCATCAGTCTAGAAGCCTGCAGATTGGCTCAGTGAATGCCAGGTCACACAGCTGAGATCAGAGTATAGGCCTTGTGGGCTCCAGCTTGGGAGCAGCCCCTCCAGGAGGGCCAGGGAGTGGGAAACCTCAGGCCATCCCCTTGGGACCCTGCACCTCCTGCCCACTTCAGGTTCAGGAGAGAAGACAGGGAGGAAGCAGCAGCCAAGGAGAAAGGCCTCCGCTGCCCTAACCCAGCGCCGAGCTGACCCTTGGTGCTCAAGGCTCCTCTTACCCAGCCCTGACTATAAAGAGCCGCTGGTAGCATGCCAGTTACATGGGGGCTATTCTGTGGTGACTGGGGGAGGGAGGGAGTAGTGCTTCAGAGGGAGACTCTGAGTAGTGCTGGCCATGCAGACACAGTGGAGCAAGGCAATGCAGACAGACACTCTCCTAAAGTGGAGTGAGGCCACTACGGACAGGATGCCCCTGAGCAACAGAGCGAGGCCACTGTAGACAGTGCCTGCGCCCGGGCTCTGAGTGGGGCTGGAGCCAGTGTGTACCTGCATGTGTTTGAGTGTTGTCTGACCACGTCTGTGGGAATGGAAGCCTGCCCCTTGCTTTTCTCTTAGTGCCAGGGGAATTCTCCTCTAACTCAGCTTTAGAGACTTGTTGTGAATGGATTTTGCATTCATTCAGCAAACATTTATCTCATGAGTGTGTCCCCCTGTCTTCGTCTCTTGGCTATCCCCAACTAGTTTCCTCCCCAACTGGAACTGAGCATCATAAAATAAGTGCCACCTCTGGGTAGATTGCCTGGATTTCTTTTCTACTCCCTGAGTGATATTTCTTCGGAATGGAAATACATGTTCAACTGCAGAAATGCAAATGCTCTGTTGTTTCTGTTTTTACCTTAGAAGACTACAGTTTTTCAGCATAGTCCTCTTTCCCTTTTTTGTCTTTTCTTGTGTTCTTTCTTCCTTTTTTCTTTTCTTTTCTTTTTTTTTTTTTTGTTGTTGTTTTGGGGCTGAACTCAGTGGTGCTCAGGGCTTACTCCTGGCTCTTCACTCAGGGGACCAACTGTGGTCCCAGAGTTTGAATCAGGTGTGATGAGTTCACAGCAAGTGCTCTATCCTTAAGCTCTGAAAAATTATGCAACTGTGCCCTCTGGCCTTTATTTTTTAATCATCTTTATTTTGCATGGATGCTGGGGGAGTCATTTATGCATACTTTAATCACAGTGGATGTGTCTCTTTAAAGATTCTAATGGGGGGAAATCACCTATATTTGCATCTCCCCATTTCAAATTCACACAAGGTATGAAGCCTGCCTGCTTTTACCGTTTAGAGTTGGGTTGTGGGGTGGGGGCAGCACCCTGCTAACTTCTACCTCTCCACCTGGGCCATGGTTTGTCCACAGAAAAGCAAAGGATGAAAGAAGAGCAGGTGATAGAGCAGTAAGTAGTTTGCCAGTAGAAATACCATCTATGGCCACGAGCCTCTATGACGCTCTTCTCTTTTGGTTATAGCAAGCGGACGAGACTCTGGATTTTGAAGAACAGATCTTGGAAGCTGCTAAGTCGATTGCTGCTGCCACCAGTGCCCTGGTAAAATCGGCCTCGGCAGCCCAGAGAGAGCTGGTGGCCCAAGGAAAGGTGGGTTGGCACGCCCGCCTGGGCAAGCATGGGGCAGCTAAGTCACAAGAGTCCCCCAGGGCTGCGGAAGAGAGAAAAGGCTGCAGGAAGCCTAGAGCTGCAACTCCACTCACAGATACTCTGCCGACTCTTTACTTGAAGCCCACAAACAGAATAAAGGTTTTCTTTGGGGATTCCCGCCTGCTTCTTGTTACAGAGAGCACTCTGCAGACTGTTCTCAGAAGAGATTTAGACACTGAGATTCTCACAACACATTCAGTTGTTTAAAGACAGAGAATTTCAGGGGGAAAATAGCTTTAGGACCCAGATGTCTGGGATGCAGTACAAGTGACCCCATTCATCTCTGCAGTGTACGGAGCTGAGCACTACCCAACTTGGCAGCTCGTGTTTTGCAGAGTCCCTTGGTCAAAAGTAGATAAGGTTTCAAAATTGGGATTTCTCCAGCCACCCCTACTCTCCACATTGGCACCATAGCATTGTTCCTTTTCCATGAATGGAGGGTTTGTTGTATCCTAGAGCTGTTTCAGCTAGGGACCCAGTAGCATTGTAGCACTGTCCTCCTGTTGTTCATTGATTTGCTCGAGCAGGCACCAGTAACATCTCCATTGTGAGACTTGTTGTTACTGTTTTTGGCATATCAAATACACCATGGGGAGCTTACCAGGCTCTGCCATGTGGATGGGATACTCTCGGTAGATTGCCGGGTTCTCTGAGAGGGATGGAAGAATCGAACCCGGGTCAGCCGCGTGCAAGACAAACACCCTACCCACTGTGCTATCGCTTCAGCCCCTCAGCTAGGAGATGGTTACTAATGCAAAGCATTCTGTGGGTATGTCATACCATTCCTTTACATCTCAGAGACACCCATGCATATGACACTTGTGGACAGGCTCTGAGAGAAACCTCTGGAAACTCTCCAGGCTGTGTCATTTGTTACCATGTGGTCATTTGTTACTCTGACATGAAAAGGACTCTGTGAATGGACACACACAGATGCCCAGAACTTGAAACGAGGACAGAGAATTAGACCTAACCAGTAACCCATATCTTCCTACAGAAAGCCTTTTGTGAGTGTTGCCATGTCTTAATCGAACCCACTCACTTTGACTCCACTTTCACCTTGTGGAATACGTCATGTTGTGACGTATTATTCAACATGAGCATACACACGTTGTACATCTTCCCAGCTAGCCTGTATCCCTCTGTGTACCCCTGCATATCAGTCATAGTGCCAGGCCTCCTCAGCAAGTATTTGCTAACCCACCAGTATGCCAAGACCAGAGAGGGATTGGTGAGAAGAATACCTGGCCTAGAATGTCCACTTTATTTCCTCACTGGTGAAGGGTCATCTGGATTTCAGACAGTCCATGCTGGATGTAGGCGGTATTAGCACCTCTGTCTCTCCAGGAACTTACCTTGGAAGCATTTTAAAGTTAGGGAAGGAGGGATTCAAGCAATAGTACAGCATGGAAGGCACTTGCTTTGCACATGGCCAACCCAGATTCGATCCCCATCATCCCATATGGTCCCCTGAGTACTCCCAGGAGTGATTCCTGAGCACAGAGATAGGGATAAGCCCTGAGCACTGCCAGGTAAGGGGAAAAAATTGTTTTTTAAGTTAGAAAAGCTTCATCTTGAGTCAGGTGAGCTTTAGGGTTACAGGCAGGACCTTGGGGGTTTTATCTGCCACTTTTTATGCCCTGGGGTAGAGCGATAACCCAGGAAACACCCCACTACTAATTCCCTTGAGATGCTTGTCCCAGCATCTTCACCAAGTTTAAAGGAATTTTCCTCCCATCCCTACTTCCTCTGCATCTGGAGAGAAAACACTGCCCTTGATGACATGATTTCTAAGTGAAAACAGATCATGGGACTTCAAGCCTCGCACTTTTCTTCCCATCCCTGACAAAATGGTCTCAGACAAGCTCAGCTGTTTGGAAGGAGATGGGCAACCACTTCAACCACTCCTGCAACTACTTCACCTTCCTGAAAGATCCCACCATGGCCCTCGGGTCAGCCCCCAAGAGAGATTTAGAACCTGCCAGGCCTGGAAGAGGAGTCTTGTGTTGGACATGCAGATGAGCATGTGATTCAGTCCTGACCTGAAGTTCCCCAACCATATTCTGGAAACATGCGCTCCTGACCATTGAACTGAGCCCCATTCTGAGTGCTTCTGACTGACCACCTGGGTTTGGGGATCCTGCTAGCCTGTCCTTGGGGGAGAAGGGCTCTCTCCTCATGACTGAAGTGACTACTCTCCAGCCTGAGGGAGAGGGGCTCAGGGGCCGTCCTCGCTCACCACGTGTATCTCCTTCCCCACCCCTACAGGTGGGCTCCATTCCTGCCAATGCTGCAGATGATGGACAGTGGTCCCAGGGCCTGATTTCTGCCGTGAGTGCCCTTCTCATTCTGCCCTGTTGGTCTTTGGGATCCCTGGAGGGGAGCGTGGGCCTTGGGCTCACCTCTCCACTGACTGTCCCCAGGCCAGGATGGTGGCAGCTGCAACCAGCAGCCTGTGCGAGGCAGCCAACGCCTCGGTCCAGGGCCACGCCAGTGAGGAGAAGCTCATCTCGTCTGCCAAGCAGGTCGCTGCATCCACAGCCCAGCTGCTCGTGGCCTGCAAGGTGAAGGCCGACCAGGACTCGGAGGCCATGAGGCGCCTACAGGTAATGGTCTCAGATGCTGGTGGGAAAGCACTCCTGTTGGAGCGGGTAAGTGTCGCCCGGGGGACAGACCCTCTTCCTGGCATGATCCACCTGGCCTTCCATCGCTGGTTCTGTCCACCTCTCCTCATACTCGGCCGTCTGCAGCCATGCATCCTACACCTGCAACTCCACCAATTCCACAGACCCCATGTAGCTGGGGTCCCACTCACCCTAGAAGCCTGGCCCTCACCTCCCCCGGCCCAACCTGGTGAGCTGTTTCCTTGTTCTTTCAGACTCCTGGCTAAAGTCATCTCTTGTGGGAGGCCCTCCCTGATGGTCACATGGTCAGGCCTCTGTTCTACAGAGGCTGGACCCCTCTGAGGACTCTGTTTCCTGGAACCACCACATTCTCCTTTATGTTTGCCTTTGACAAGGCTGCGTGCTTCCTTTGTGCAGGGACCCCTTTTATATTCTGCTTCTCATGCACCTCAGAGGTTGCTTGCACCAGTGTGTGCCCAAAAGGGGAGCAAAAAAGGATGTAACCATTAATGTGAGCCTGTTGCTGAGTTCTCCCAGAGTCCCAAGAACATGTCTGGGGAGGTAACAGTCACTTCCCTCTGGGGCATTGACCTTTTCCTGGTTGGTTTCATTATCAAAGTATTTAAACAAAAAGAAGGACAAGAAGGACAAGCTTCAGTGAGAACCCTGATAACCTCCACATCTTCACGCCTCAGGTTTATCACTTGATTCTTCCTGTTTCTATTTATATTAAAAATAGTTTTGTCTCATTGTAATCCCCAGACAGGAGACATTCTGTGTTTCCCTACTTAATACTCTATCATACCTATCTTTTTTCTTGAAGAAAGTCCTTCATGATTTCTCTGTGCAAAGTGAATCACTCCATTTCTCATAGTCTCATTTTTAATGATTGCATGATATGTGTTGCATCAACTGATTGTGCCAGAATTCTCCTATGCCTTTTATATTGAGTTTGGTTTCCAGTTTTGTAGATTCCTGTTATGAGTATTATAATGCAAATTATGTTGCTAAAAATGTTCATGTGCATGATCAAAATGATAATACTGGCAGAAAGAGTTGAGCAATTCCACCAGGACTCGGGGTTCTCCTCTGACTTTGAAGCACATTTATGGTGTTTGAGCCCCTGACCCTTGATTTGACTCTGAGGGACACTAGGGGGTGCATAGATAAGTAAGTGGTAGGAGCATTTCTGAGTAAACATCATTTGTGAAGAGAAACTTCGGTTCTCAGCCTGCTCTGGTGTGAATTTAGCACATGGTGGCTCCAAACTCCTTGCTGTGTTGCCCCAACTCAACATGGATGGAGGGAGACAAGCTGTATGCTCAAGGGCCAGCATGTGCTCAGGGACAGGACTGCAGGCAGGACAGACCACTGTTCCCGATGTAACTGGCCCACTGTCCTGTGCATGTTCTGGCTTCGACTGGAAGATTTTCTAGGACTTGACAGATCTTACTCCCTGACCCCAGCTTTAGAAGTCACTAGCTTCGGGGTCTTTGACCAGTTATGAGGCCTCAGTTTCCACATCAGGAAGGCAGATTGACACCTGACCCCATAAAGACCTCTTGATGAGGATGTGGACTCATTGACTGTCATGGCCTCCCCGTTTCCCTTCTGAGTCACCCCCATGGTTGCCCTCAGTCACTTTGATGCCAACTTGGGCCACCTCTGTACCAGGCACTGGGCATGCAGATGCAAGTAACAGACCCCAAGATCCCTCCTGCTGCTCACTATCCAGAGGGAAGGCAAGCAGCCACAAGCAAGATCAGCAAAGAAACCAGCTCAGAAACGTTCAGAGCATAAAGGAAGGAGAGAGGAAAGGGCCAAGATAGACAGGGAAAGTGATGCCTGTCCAGGGCCTTGGGCCTGTCTCTTTCTGTATAGCAGGAGGAAATGGGTTTCTCAACCAACAGTGCAGCCCCTGAATGTGCTTCTGCTAACCATGCTGCTGCAGTCATTTATTTAAATATTTATAATACCCCTCAAAAGTATGTGTTCCTTGGGGGCTAGGAACTGGATCTCACTCATTTGTGAAATAGCCACACTTAGGCTGGGACCAAGGTTGGTCCGGTCGATAGATGAGGAGACGGATAAACAAATGGTACTAACTAGAGATAGCTTCTGTGTTGTGACTGATAAATCAGTTCCTAGTCTCAAGAATTGTCCCTTTGTGTCTATTCCCACAAGACCCCGATGCCTGTTTCTAATGATATCACTTATGTTTTATGCCTTCTCCAGGTGGCAGGAAATGCTGTGAAACGAGCCTCAGACAATCTTGTTCGTGCTGCCCAGAAGGCCGCATTTGGCAAAGCCGATGATGATGATGTTGTAGTGAAAACAAAGTTTGTAGGGGGCATTGCTCAGGTTTGTGACTCAATCCAAATTCTGGATCTAAGACAGACCCCATGGCAGACACTGTGACAGAAGAGACAGAACAAATAGTGACTTAGATGAAACATTTTTTCTCTCTCATATAACATAGAGCTCTCCAGTTTTAACTCTCTGGTCAGCAGTCTAGAATTCTTTTGTGCCTGAGAACCTATGTTCCATCTGGCTTATTGCTTTGCCATCCCTGAAGTGTTACCTTTGGCCTCTTGGTCAAAGATGGTTCAATACTTACTAGCCAGCAGGAAGAGGACCCAGAAGGCAGACACAAGTTGCATACGTCACTGCCTCTCACATGCCATTGACCAGCACTAAGTCACATGGTCAACAAAGTGTTTTGGGAAACATAGCCTTTTTTCTGAGTAGCCATGGCCCTAGTTAAAACCAGGGATTCTAGTATAGTAAAAGGGAAGAAGAGAAATTGAAGGATAGCAATGAGTGCCATCTAAATAAAATTATTCCTGTGATGCTATATCTGCAGTTGACCCTACAGAGATAATGAATGGTGACCTATCCAGAACTTTAATGAGAATTGACGGGATTCTTGCTTATGCAAGACTGCATTTGTGTGTGTGGGGGGGGGGGGGATGAGGAGGAAGTTTCAACAACTCAGGCATGCAGTTTGGGATGTGTATTTCTATAAATACATTTTATGAGGTTATCTTTGCACTGTGAGCCTTGAAGCCCCATTACTGAACTTACTCATTCTTATATCCCCTCACTCTTGCTGAAGTACAACTCATGTTTGGAAAAAGCACAGGATCCTTTTTGTACTTTTGCTAGAATTCATGACTTGATCCACTTGTTCCCTAAGAATTTCCAGAAAGAAAAAGATCCCTAGTCATGTCAGTTTTCTGCTACCACCTCAGTACTTCAGTGCTAATCAATGCTTTAATAGCCTAGTAGAGGCTCTGAAAAAAGACCTATACCAAAGAAATATATATAATATACATATGGACTTTTTTGAACACAAATACACCTCTTAAGTAATATTTCTCAGACCATATCTAAGAACCATGAAATAGATGGAGACCCAGTAGTGCTCAGGAGTTCATGTATAAGCTCCAGGAATATCCTTTTCTGCTAGTTCATTCAATATGGTGTACTCCATAGTCCCCACAGAAATGGGTCTGCAAAGGGCTTGATACATGGTGGAACACATGGATGTTTGCTGCTAAATGAGCTTGTGTTCTCGAGTCAACTGCAAAACCCAGACAAGCACTGAATGTTCTTCACACTGCATAGGTACTTTCTTGTGAGAACTCATGAGGCAGGCAGTGGAGGGGGAAGCCCATTTCCTGAGAAGTCTTCAATTCATGCAGCTTGTTGCTTCTCTTCTAGATCATCGCTGCCCAGGAGGAAATGCTAAAGAAAGAGCGAGAACTAGAAGAAGCAAGGAAAAAGCTGGCCCAGATTCGTCAGCAGCAGTATAAGTTCCTACCCACTGAACTGAGGGAAGATGAAGGCTAAGGCCAGAGCCTAGGGGGCGAGCACTAGGGGACGTCTCTGCAAAAACTGGACACACTCTGCTCTGGAAAGGCTGGGCTCCAGCCTGGGAGCCACTCACCTCCCCCTGAGCCAGCACTACTCCTGGAGCTTGTGCCCCTTCTCTGTCCTGCCGGCCATGGCTGCATGATCATGATGTCACATGGTAGTGTCTCACCCACAGCGCCTCGGCCCCTCCCCACACCTCACTGTATCTCAGGAGAGAGGGGCTCACACATGTTGGTGGATGGCCACCCCACACAGGAAGTTCAGTATTATCTCATTCTCAGACACTGGCTTTGCTTGATCCTTGTCTAGGTCTCTTGCTGAAATCTCTGTAGGAAAAAAACAGCAAGATCTCAGAGGAAGTGATTGATGTGATAGATTCTGAAAGATATGCTTCTCTGACTCAGGAGAAGGTGCAAGAGACAGCTGGACATGGTGGTAAAAATTGGGAACGTAGGTCACTGTGGACTCCAAGAGGGCAGCTGTGTCTCCAGTGCTGGCTCGAGGGAGAGTTTCTGCTCCCGTTTGCACGCTTTCTTGCCTCTGTGTGTAAGCTCCTTGTACAGCCTAGACCCATCTTGTATCCTGTGGCCCCGGAAGTCAAATGGCTATTTTTTTTTCCTTCATGATCCCAAGGGCAGAGGGGTGGGGCCTATCAGGGCGTGGCGTGCAGAGGCTGTAATAAAAGATGTGGCTCCTTATGCTGCAGAAGCTGTTTCAGTCCATATACACCCGATTTCCCCCAGATCATGGTCCCCTCTGATGTACTGCAGGTTCTGTAATCAGTGAGATGGATGGGGATGCCTCCCTGGTCAGCTTCTCTGTTATCAGAAGGGCCAGAACGTAGATTCAAGAGGCACCTACTCCCAACATCTGTCCCCTCAGGCCAGCGACAAAACTCAGAGAGCAAATGTGTATGCCAAACACAGGGGAGCCCTGGGTCTGATCCTGATACCACAGGATTCTCTGAGCATTGCCAGGGAGCAACCGCCAGGCACTGAGCCAGGAGTCACCCCTCATCTCTGCTGATGTGGTCCAGAAACCTATCGTCTGTCTCCCAACCAGGATGTGTGCTTCTATTTAGGTCTCTTAAATTCCAGAGGTGTACCAAAATCAACACAAACTGGCAGCAACACCCCATCACTTGGTGGCAGTGTAGACATGCATAGGTTTTCAATGTTCATCTTCTAAAGACAAACGAAGTTGGTTTGTTTCTCACTCCTCTCTCTTCTAGCACCTTCTCTTTGGAAGGGCCAGAAGGCCTTACATTCCCCTTTCATGCGAGTTTCTTACTGATGCAGTACTGAGAGCAGGTGCTCCAGGCCGCTCAGGGTGTTGAAAAGATTAACAAGGGGCGGCCTGGTGAGCAGGTGGTTTTTAGAGCTGATTGACCGATTGCTGCTTGTGTGGCCCTCCCTCCCCTACGTGTCTGCAGCAATGGGGGGGTTATTTTAATGTACCCAAGGCAGGGGAACATGTTGGTGCTTTGGTCCCCAAAATGTGTGAATTCTATGGGGCTAGAGAGGCAGCACAGCAGCAAAAGCACTTGCCTTGCATACAGCCAACCTGGATTTGATCCCTGACACCCCAGGATAGTTAGGAGACTTGTGTTATATGTACTAGAATTTTCTTGCCAATGAATCAAAAGCTAGAAGAAAGGTAGTGCAGACAGAAAGTGAGTATCTGTGGGGAAGTGGAGAGCAAGAGGTGGGGGGTGAGGGAGAGTGTGGGATTCTCTGGTGAAACTCAGCCTCTTGCATGAACCAACAGACTCTTCTTGCTGCAACACCTCTGACCTTGGACAGAAGCCCCCAGGAGCACTGTGTGCTGGGTTCTGCCTGAGAGTCACCTCCAGGGCGGCTCAGGGCACTTCCAGAGCTTTCTACAGGGCAGACCCTGAGGCTCAGCAGCCACATATGTTCATGGTCTCCCAGTGGACTCTGGAAGGTCCCTCTGTGGCTTCCCTGACACATCTTCACATCACAGGAGCCACAAAGAGATGGGCAGTTCATCCCCTGTCCTTCTCAGCCTCATTTGTTTATTTTATTTTGTTTTTTAATTTCTCTTAAAAATTTTACTTCTCAATATATCAGATTATTTTTGTAAACTTTCTTTTCTTTTTCTCTCCCTCATTCTTTTTTATTTTTAAAGAATTGTATTGAGGGACTGTGATTTAGAAAATCATACTTGAGTTTTAGGCATCAGTGTTCCAACACCAATCCCACTGTCAGTGTCAACTTCCCTTCACCAATGTCCCAGGGTCTCATCCCCACCCCACCGCCCACCTGTCTCGTTGATAGCACATTTGTGTTTCTATGTTCTGTGTTTTACAGTACTGTTCACAATAGGGGTTCAAGCATTACAAAATCCAGCACCACTCCTTTCCCGAGAGTGTCCACTTTCCTCCACCACTGTCCCTCCCTGTGGCAGGCTTCCTACTGAAGGCTGATTCTCAGTTTCTGTTGCTTTGGAACATTTATTATTCCCAGAGCCTGCAGAGCCAAAGGTCCAGGATGGAGCTGCCTTGGTGGAGAGTGAAAGAAGCAGTCTCCCATGAGCTCTTATGCGGCCCACTGTTCCACACTGGGTGCAGGTCTCCATCCTTAAAGTCCATCTGCACTATGTCCATCTGTTCTCACCTGGCTGCACTTGAGCTCTCAAGGTGCTACTATGGGAGGTTCCTGGGCCATAAGGAGCCTCTGATCCTGGAGGGAGGTTGTGTAGAGCATGTGGCAACAGAGTCCAAGTGAACTGCCCTTCAAGAGAAATGTCAGGGAGCTAGAGGTGGGGTATGAGGGGGACTGACAGGCTTTGAAGTCTTGGGAAGATGGTCATTTTTAAGGGGGGGGCCTCCCTATTCTACTCAGCCCAGCTGGTAGGCATGATGGTTCTATGCTCAGGCCCATTGGTTCCTTCTGTGCTGGGGGCCCATCAAGGCCCTGCCTGGCAGTGTTCAGGGGTTATGCATTTGCTGGGAATTGGACCTGAGGCCTCTCCATGCAAGGCCTGTGCCCTAGCAGTTTGAAGAATCTCCCCAGCCCTGGAATGGGCTTCTCTCTGTCCATATCTTGCTGTCACTGAAGGAAGACAAGGAACCTCCTTGCAGTTTGGGAACTGTGTCGTGATGGGGAATTGGGGTTTCCTTCATTCTTTCCTGAGTCTGGATCCAAGCCAAGACTAGACTCATTTCAGCTCTGCTCAGTGTTCAGCCGGCTGCGGTACTGGCAGCCAGTGAAAATGGGTTCCAGAGTTTTGGGTAATCCTTGATTGGGCATGACTGTCCTAAAGCCAGTGCCAAGGGACCCCAGCCTGTGAGGAACCCCTAGAGCTGTGCTCAATCCAGAAGGCCCCGGAGCCCCTGTAAGGCTTCCTGCTGACCTTCTGGTGCTTTATGGTTCATGGACAACTCAAGTCTGTGCTCAGTTTAGTCAAACAGAAGCTCATCCCTACCCTTACCCCCTGGAAGTGGACCCCCAGAACTGGGGTGATCCCCAGACCCTCCCAGGGAAGCTGGCAGCACTGGAGGAGGAGTGGGGGCAGTGACCAGTGTAGTTTCCCTCTCAGGGTTCACAGGCCTTTGCTGATGGGCTTGGCCCCTGCACACAACCCCCAGCTCCTCTCACACCCCCAGACCTGGGCTCTGCAGGGCCTCGGAAGAGTCTGACCAAGCAGGCCCACCCAGGTAATCCCCATGTTTGGAGCTTAAACTCCGAAGGGTTCTAAGGGTCCCCTCTACTTACCCAGGGATCAGCAGAGCTGCTTTAAGCGAAGGGACAACAGAGTCCAGATGCCCAGAGATCCTGACAGCCTCAGTGGAGGCTCCCTCAGTGCCCCCTCAGGTCCCCAAGAGCCCCATTTAAAGGCAACTGAGACTCATGATCCCCTTTTGCCCTTGTTCTTGGTGTTTGTATTTAGGGTCACTTGGAATAGGTATGTGACAAGCTTTATTGACTAAAAAGTTTTCTGTAAAAGAGGTTTTATCTGCCTTTGAGTCTGCCTTCCAGTGTCCCCCCCACCCCCACTGAAAAACTTCCATGTGTGAATCCCCAACTCAGTGTCTCCTGGTTCTACAAAGCGGGCTTCATGTAGCTTTCTCCTCAACAAACCAAGAAAACAAAAGCAAACAGTAATCTTCCCTGTGTCACACTGACTTTACAGATCTGGTCACAGAGATTATTTTTTTAATTTGCCAGAAATAAACTCTTAAAGGAATGAACTTGTGTGAAAGTCTTGTGGGAGTGGGAGAAAGGTGGAGAGAAAGGGAGAATCGAGTGTCTCCGGAAGCACAAGCTCAGAGTTTCCAGATGGGTAAGAGAAGGAGGAACGTGTGGGAAGGAGGCGTGTGAGAGGAATGCATGTGTGTGAAGAGGCAGTGTGTGAGAGGAGACAGTTTGTGTGAGCAAAGGGGTGTGTGTAGAGAGTATGTGAGCAAAGGGTGTGTGTGAAAAAGAGGGTTGTGTGAAATGACACTGGATGTGAGGAGCTGGTGTGTCTAAGCAAAAGTATCCTTAAAGAAACTATTTGTGAGAAGACAGTGTGAAAAAATGCAGGGGTGAGCGGGACCAAAGGAGAACAGGCAGGGCGAGAGAGTAGGGATGTCACCCTAAATGAAAGAATTCTCAGCATGGCATGTCAGGAGTCTGGGATGATGGCCTTGAGCGGTCCCTAATAACCTCACTGACCCACGCCCAGCCTGATTCAACACCCAAAGGTCATCATCTCAGCATCCTCTCCCCTGTTTCAGTAGCCTACATTCTTGGAGTATAACGAAGACATGCTCACTCTCATACCTTTGTTAAAAAGATATAAAAGGGAAAGGGCTTTTGCCTTTCTTCCAAATCCTCTTTTAAGAGACCCTTCCCATAATCTGGGAGCTTCTCTGCATTCCTTTTCTTCCTTTCCTTAAAGGCTTTTATGAATCCAGCCAATTGCCCTCTAGTCCCTTTCAATTTTGACTGCTTGAGGACAAGAACCTGAACATCTGTGCCTGAGAGAGAGGAAAGAAAGAGAAATATGTGTTCAAGAGAGAAAATGGGCTTCTCCAGGGGAAACAGGCAGAGAATAGCTCTTGAAAGGAGGTTAAACGCAATTTGTCCAAATTGTCTTGGTCTGAGTCCTCTGCACACATGAAAGTTAATCTGGGTGTTGTCACGGGGAAGACTCAGACTCCTTTTGATGCTTTTATATTCTTATTGAAACCCTTAGACCCTCCTGTATGCCACCTTTTCTGGGGGGAAGGGAGTGGTCCCCACTTCTCTGAGTGGTGCCTCAGTTTCTCCACCTCCAAAGAGCTCAGGATTTTCATCTCAAAGATACGTGGTCCTTGGTCCTTGTGCCTTTGGGCTACTTCAGAACAGGGCAATTTCTTTGAAAGTTTTATTATTCAAAAAAAAACCCTCATTACCAGTGCTCCCCAAGCTACCTGCCTACTATAGTAGCTAAACTATAATTTTAAAATAATAATTTTTTTAAAAAAAAGTCTGACAGATGGCTGGGGCTGGGAAGTGGCTGAGTGGCTAAAGCATGGTGAATGTGAAGCATGAAGCCTGCACTCTTGTTTGAGCACTGGCTTCAGAGAACCTGGCCAGCGCTCCCCTGAGGGAAGCAGAGGCTGCCTGAATGACCACCAACATAGACTCACACGGGTCAGAAAGGAAGACCACTGATCCAACTTTGGTGACTGCCCGGTGAAGGACCCTGG